GGGGTATAAAAAAACCTGTCAAGGCCCAAAACAAGCTGGTAGGTGGCGGGGTTTCAATTCAGGGAGGGGGCTGGGACAAAGCATTGTGTATCCACCGTGTCTGCCAAGTGATATCAAAAGATCAGGTTGTATAATTGACAGTGTGTGTGATGCATAATTTTTATTTTTATTTTCAATAAATGTACAAAAGATGAAGGGTATTTTTTTTTTGCTCTCATTAATAATGCTTTGATTTCAGTTCATTTCCACGAATTGTAGGTGATTTCAATTCGTATTCATTTCCGTTCAGGATGGGTGTATCTGTAGAAGAAGAGGCGGAAACAAATTCACTTGGATGGTGTATTTCTTCATCCGTGCTATACCTTGGTGGGGAATCTGTTGGCTCGTTATTTGTCAATAATGTCTCTCCATCCTGTGCTTCTTCGTCGTGGTTTAATCGAATAATCTGACTTGGATCCTCATGCTTGTGTTTAATAAATGTGTCAATGACCCAGAATTGCATAATATTCATCACCAGGGGGAAGCTTTTTATATAAAGTTTTTTTTTTTTTTTTGGTAAATGCGTTGTTCATACAAAATAAAGCACGGACTTACATTAGCATGACAAAGACCACTTGCAGTCGGTAGTTACCCACTGTCCATTGAAGAACCCAGTCACCAAAATCAGATATCCAAGGACATAAATGAAACAGAGAAACCACAATAATCTTCATGAGCATTAAACAAATAATGTATACTGCTAATTGCTTAGCCCATTTCTTTAATTGCTCGGTTAAAGGGGGATCTCCATAAACTCCACTTTGGAATCCAGACCAGGCAAGTTTCTTGACGAGGTGTTTAAAGCCGTGTAATAACAACCATAAAATACCGATACCTAGTGTTGTGTCTACTAATATATTCAGAAAGTACCTAAAAAAAAAAAGGTTGGTCCACATGTGGGAGGGAAAAAACAATTTACAATTTACCAAACACAAGGATTTGATTTCTCTCCTTCTGGATCCACACCAAAGAATACGGCAGCTACAACATTGAGCGAATGTATCATGATGCCGCCTGCTAATTGTTTACTGACATCGAGGGCCCTATTTTTAGAAAAGAAAAAAAAAAGGCTGAGTGTGAGGGAGACCTTCTTTATTTAAAATACAAAAGACGTACCAAATGCGAATGGGTCGTTGTGGTTGTTCTCGTTGTCGTTTAAAGATTAATGTTGAAAAGGCTGTGGTTGCTAGGCACAATTGAATAAATATACCAAAGCCATCCATGAGCTTACACCCGGAATCTTGATCTTCAGGAGAATCCATGTTTATAAATAGAAAGAGAAAGAAAGGGTCGGTCTCTCTCTCTTTTCTTTTCCGCCCGCCTTTTTAACTCGTCCCCCCCCCCATCTCCCAAAAATGGATTTTGGGTTGTCCCACAGTCCATGACATCAGTCACTTTTTGAAGATTAGCAAACTCTACATCGTGTGCAAGTGAATAATATTAGCCGGAAGACTACAAGTAGAATTTAGACACCTTTTCCCCTATACAGCTATTACTTCTTGTCTGATTCAGCATGGACCAGAGCGTTGTTATCATCATTCAATCTATCCCGACCACCTATTATGGGAACCAAAGGTTAGTTACTGGACTTGGTTTCATCCCCTGTAGTGACATGTAATGAAACTTTGATTATGAGCTGTCACATAGAAGCAATCACCGTTCTTTGCCAAGAAATTAGTTACAACAAATGCGAATGATGAGACACGTCAATTGGTATGTAAGACGCTACAAAACAAACATTCAATCAGTCGGAATTGAAATAAATTCACTATACGTCAAAATTATTGGTCGTGTTCGATTAGATAATACACGTTTGGCCTGACAAAATTTTTTATATTTATGGATTGAAAAAGAAAGACATTATAGTTAACAACCATTGAAAAAGAAAGAAGATTTTTATTAAGAGTTTTTATTAAGAGAAGATGGCTTATAACAATCAAGACATCGTTATTATTAGTTAGTTAACGCACAAAAATTCTCATGATTTGCTATTTTACTTACTTGATACCATAAATACACCACACCAAATAATAGTAGATACACATTTGCCACTCACATAAAGAAGCGAGTGTTTCCAGGATGGCCACGAGGAGGCTTGTATCCATACATCCCGCATTTTCGGTTTTGTCTAGAATGGGGAGAAAATCGAAAAGGTAATAGAAGCTGTGGGGGTGAGACTCGATGGAAAAGGACTAACTTGATCAAACCGGACCGTAGTCTGATAAATTAATATGTGAGTTGTAGTCAAGTTAGAATGCAAGGTACACTTTTCCACCCTCTACAACGCGTCCCTGTTACCCTCCTTTGAGAGTAAAACTATCTAAACCGAAAAGAAAAACAGACCTAGCCGATAACGTCAGTATCTACCTCTCCGTCACTGCCAGCTCAAGGATTGTTATCCAGTTAAGGACGACCATCACGTCCAAAGCAGAAACTACCCCCTCGGAAAGATAGCACTCCTCTGGTATTCCCACCAATATTGCCAGCTCAGTTGTTGAAGCGAAATCTCTGACACTACCACGATCGTCGGAGCTACCATGGGTTTTAAGTAGACCTCACCACCTTTTTACGAGTGGGCTATGAAGAAGAAGAAGAAAGAAGAAAAAAAAAACAAACAAAAAAAATTTTTTTTACGCCAATTATTCACAGTTTGTTTGTAATGTAGATCCTTATCACCGTCACAATGCCCCCCACAAAAAAGGATTAAATGATGTATGGGGAGCACACATTTACTGGTATTCAACATTCATATTGATACGGAGTCAATCAAACTCAAGACTATGTAGCTGATAGATGGGCAAGTCTTAGATGCATTGAGTACTTTCTCTTGTCAACTAACACACTCTTTCTACCAGTTAAATTAAAATCATGGTAATCAGCAGGGAATTAGTTTCGTCCTATTAAATGAATAATTAGCGCCGTAATCTGCTTCAACACAGATTTCTCCAGCAGTGATAATTCATTTTCGCTGGTATAGTCATGATATATTTAAACCTGTATTCCCTGTTATTTTAGGGTGCGCTTTGTTTCATTTCCAATTGTATACTCTATCGCATTTATTCGTTTAAGAGCACCCGATAATATGCAGTAGGAGTCATTTGATATCCTGTCATTCAAATTCAGGTATTCTTTTTTTTTTTGGAACCTAAAAGTAACAGTGACACATAGTTTTTTGCAAGGCATCCGTTGTACATTTATCAAGTCAATGGAAAACGTGTATCATCAAAAAATAAAGGAAAAAAAAAAAGTAAAACCTGTTTTCAGGTAGTACATGAACCAGGTCAGCCACACTTGGCTGATAAAAAAAAAAGAGCGCAAATCTTTGCACAACCAAAACATTACATCTGTAATCTTACATGATTATTGGCGATGACTATTTGGGATGAGAGACAGCCGCTTTGGTGGTAAACCAATGCATAATATATTCGTAGTGTATACATGCACTTTTGAGAGTCTCATACAGCATTTCTGGCTCAATTGTTATTCTTAAGACCCACCAATGACAATACTCTCTGCAAAAAAAAAGCAGGTATAGAATGTTTACAAGACATTATGCTGAACTTTCATGTCAATGTTTGTTCTAACGAATGTCATTGTCCCCATTGAAATTTTTGAGCTTTTTTTTAAAGCGATCTAAAAATAAAAAAAATAAAAAATAAAATATATTTACACCCCCTTTTAAATTACTACGCAAATGGCAGAAGAAACATATGGTGCCATTCAATTTGGCGAATTTCGAAAATACATGAACAATAAGCAAGCGAAGTTGAAGAACCAACAACAAGAATTGTAAATGAGGACATGTTTTTTTCTCATTTTTATATTGACACACATACTTAGGAAAAATTTAGCTAGTCAAGAAAGGGCACCATTGTTTAAAGGGCTTTCAATTCATATCAATGGCTATACGAATCCACCCAACAGTGAATTACGTCGATTGATATTGGAATATGGAGGAGACTATCAGCATTACTGTAAGGTTTTTATTTTATATTTGGAACTTTCATCTTTTTGTTACTTATCTCTCCCCTTACTCCGTGTAGTGAAAAAATCCAGTGTGACCCATATTATTGCCACGAATTTAACAAATTCGAAAATGAAGGAGTTTCGGTACGATATATAAAGACTAGCTAGATTGTTTTCATATCTAATTTATATATATATATTTTTTTTTTTTTTAAAAAAAAAAAAAAAAAAGATTATACAAGGTAGTGAAGCCAGAATGGATCACGGAAAGCATTGAAGCAGAACGCCTTTTACCTTGGCAACCGTATCGATTAGTGATTAGCGGACAAGCGTTAAATCAAGACATTTTATCCAACCAATGGGCAAGGTCCACCTCAACTGTCAATCCGCAATTTATTAAACGGTACTACGAGACCTCTCGTTTACATTACTTGTCTGTATGGAAAGGTGAATTAAAAGACATTGTGGACAAATTACAAGAAAAATATCCAGCTAAAACAACACCCCATGGACCTCGTGTCATTATGTAAGTTTTTTTTTTGGGGTGGGGGGGGAGGATTCTTAAATTAAAAAAAAAACCTTATTTTAAAACTAAACAAAAAAAAAAGGCACATTGATTTTGATTGCTTCTTTGCGTCGGTGGGAATTAAGGATCGACCTCATTTACGAGATCAACCTGTAGCTGTATCGCATGGTTCTGGTAAAGATTCATCCAGTGATATTGGTGAGTTTTAAGAAGAAAAAAGTTGTTGTTATTACAATCACTTACTTTAGAACAGCATCGTGTAATTATGTGGCTCGATCTTTTGGTATACACAATGGAATGACGTAAGAAATGGATACCAACCTACAAAAATGACAAGAATTCATGGTTTTTTTTTAATTAATTATAGTATTGGAACCGCGATGGGACTTTGTCCAAACCTTCAAGTCATACCGTAAGTACAGAGAAACGCATGTTTTATTTTTTGTTATAGTGTTACCTTACTAAAACAATCGTAATCCCACGTTTTTGAAAGATATGAATTTGAAAAATATCGATCCATTTCTGAAATTTTTTATGAGGCAAGTATTTTTTTTTTTTTTTTGGTATACAATAGCCTAAAGTAAAACATGGGATAACCTGATATTTTTTTTTTGGGCATGGCCCGTGTACAGATTGTGTTCCAACATGCACTTGAAATGCAAGCAGTGAGCGTGGACGAGGCTTTATTAGAAATCGAGGGAAATGGTCAAGAAGAGCATGTGGCTACTACGATGAGAAATGAAATAAGACAAGCGACTGGATGTGAAGCAAGTATTGGTATCGGTAAAAATATCTTATTGGCGAGGTAAGCTTTAACAGTCGCATGTATTTCTTCTTTCGGGGGGAAGAAAACTCATCACAATGTAAATTTTTAGATTGTCTACCAAGAAAGCAAAACCAGCTGGTCAATTCTATTGCAAAGAACATGATGTAGAGCCTTTACTAGCAGAAACAAGTGTTACGGATTTACCTGGTGTAAGACATCCTATTTTTGTTTGTTTGTTTGTTTTTAATACGTGTTTCCTCGTTTTATACATATATTTATCGATGTTGTGTTCTAGGTAGGTTATGCTATAGCGGAGAAGCTCAAAGAATTGGTAAACATTTGCACTTTGAAAAAAAAAAAAAAACGAGATAACTAGATTAAATCATGTTTTACTGTATGTCTACTCTTAGGATGTTCAAACTGTGTTGGATGTGAGAAAAATTCTGTTGACGGATTTGCAAACAAAGTTAGGCGCAAAAATGGGTCAAACCTTGTTCCAGTTCTCACGTGGGTTGGATGATCGTGTTTTGACTAGACACAAACAAAGACAATCTGTTAGTGCGGAAGTGAATGTAAAAACTAACCTAACCCCCCCAATCAACAATTCATTTCCGTTGCTAACATTTTTTTCAATATAGTGGGGTGTACGCTTTGAAAATGACTTGAATGAAAAGGTAAAAAGATTTTCTCTGTTTAATTTTTTGGCAGGTATTTTAAATACCTTTACCTCCTTTTACCATCAGGAATTTGTACAAGGTCTATCAAAAGAAGTATCGGATCGCTTAATTAAACATGGTTTGAAAGGCAAGACAGTAACCATCAAGGTAAAAAAAAAAAAAAAAAAAAAAATCACAATGTAATCCTATGCAGGCGCAAGTTTTTTTTAAAAAAATTGTAGATCCTAAAAAGAAAACACGATGCGGTTGAAGCCTCGAAACATTTGGGTCATGGTCAAGTCGATTCGTTTTCGAAATCGACTATGCTGAGTGATTATACAAATGATAGTCATGTTATTTTCAAGAGTATTTATCCCATGCTAAAGGGCTTCCAGTTCTCTTGCTCGGATATTCGGGGATTAGGTATACAAATAACAAGGCTAGATAACGTCGTTTTGTCACGTATGTAATTATCATTTTTTTTAAACGAAAAAAAAAAAAATGCGCAATCAAATGTATATAAATATACTCAATGGCTATTTATAGCTGATCAAGGTACTTTGAAATTCAAGTCAGCTACTACAGCAGAAGCTACATCGACATCTTCCAGTAGCAGCAACACTAGGGAGAGGACCAAAGCAGAAATGACGGTAGATTATAACGTATACAAGGAGCTTCCAGACCTCATGCAACAAGAGCTCGCATCCAATTATACGCTTGTGTTTCAAAACAACGCACAGCCAGTAGAAGAGCTTCCTCCATGGTCTCAGCTGGACCCCACTGCTTTACTGGCCTTGCCCAAAGAGATGCAAGAGCAGGTTCTTCAAGCGTATGGGAATAAGCCAAGTCCCCCTTCTACTGTAGCCTTGCAAATGGACGGTCTTGATTATGACGTAAATGTCTGGAACGCTTTGCCGGAAGGTAAAATATAGATAAAAACACGAAAAATTGGCATTGTGGGGCGTAGGATTCGAAATATTCACATGCAAATGTTCCCATAGATGTGCGCACAGAGCTATTAGAAGAGCACCGTAGGAATCGACCCACGGAGAAGAAGCCGATAGAGATATTACCAGCTATGGTTAGCCCACCTTCTTTACCATTGCCGTCGGAGCCGGAAGGAGAACCCGCGTTAAATGGATGTACGGATTTGAAAGAGATACGTAGCTTATTACGTGATTGGGTATCCCTGTATGAAGATGGGCCAGAACCAGAAGATGTTGAGAAAGTCATTGATTTACTGACGGATTTAATCGATGGCAGTGATATAGAAAAAGTGCGATTGATTGTGCTTTATTTAGATTATTTGACAAGGAAAGAAAAGAATTGGAAACAACAAATGAATACGGTCAAGGAAACAGTTCAGAGATTAACATGTTTAAAATATGGATATCCTTTAGCCTTTTATTGATGAATAAAAAAAAAAGAAATGTGTGTGTGTTTTTTAGGGAGATGAATGAGTAAGGATTAAATTGTTGTTGTTGGAGAGTAAGATACGATGATCAATTGTTGTCACAGAAGGTTTCTTTTCATAATCCCATTCTTTACCTTCCCAATGAGGAGAACTGGGAGCATAGCTTTCTGTTGAAGTTCCTGAAGATGGCTTTTCTTCTAATATAGGTTGATATAATTCATTGCTTCTTGTATCAAAACGTTGATTATATTCATATTCATTTAAAATGTCTGTAGGAGAATGTCTCTCCTGGTCAAAGTCAAATTCAAAGTTAAAGTTAGTGCGTTGTTGTTGATAATTCCAATTGGCTTGACCTGGATAAGCAATGAGAGGATATGTGTTATTGCCACTTCCACCACCACCACCACCTCCTCCTCCTGAAGGACCACTACTACTTCCTCCCTGTTGTTGCTGGTGATGATGATGATGGTGATGGTGATGAGGATAGTCAGGTGAAGAAGATTCCATGTAATTCTGATCATCAAATGCATGCATAGACGACGTCATAGCTTGTCTTTTAGTAGCTGCAGTAGGCATAGATAATTCAACAGGCATTGTCTTTCTTTTACGTCTGTTCGAGATGGTATGGAAGGCCTTCTTTTTTGTAGTCAAACGAGGCGAAGTGGAGCAAGAAGAAGAAGAGGATAGCAAGGCGGAGGAAGAATCGGTTGATTTGTATAAAGAAGGTTTAGGACCTCTTCTAACGGCGCCGACAACGGAAGGGACCAAGCTTAAATGGCGGTGAGTGGGTAAAGAAGTAATGATAGGGAGATCTTCTCCTGATCTTAAGGGCGGAAATGCATCAATAATGCCTTGATCGTCCAAAAGTGACCTTATGTAATGCGACATCAATTGTTGGACATGAGTTTCAACCACTTGGCTTTCATAGACCAAGTCAGCGCGCATGAGACCAAACATGTCAATATTCTTGCTGTTACAGTCCACATCATGTGGAATAATATCAATAAAAAGCCCGGCACTCAATTGATAGCGACAGGGGATCCCCTTTTGAAAGATATCGAGTAAATCTTGCGTGGTCTTCAAGTCAAGATTAATCCAATTGCCATGACCAGCATATAACCTGTAACAGCTCTTGTTGTTGCTATGCGATACCAACTGCTTATTGTTTGACATTTGACAACTTCTTTTTTTTTAAGAGTATATGTTTATATATAAAAGATTGAAGAGAAAAAAAAAAGTGTACAGCATTACAAAAAAATTTATATCCTTTTTATAGGTATAGACTTTTTTTTTTAAAAGTCGCCAATTGTTTGTCAATGTTAGTGACATATTGTTGTCATATACAGAAAGAAATAAATAAATAAAAAGTGATATAAAGGGGGTGTGTGTGTGTTTTCGTTTAGTCTAACAAGCTTGTTACAAGCTAAATAGATTATTTGGCTTATTACAGTTGATACAATAAATTATGTCGTCTGGGCCGAACAAAATGTCACCCAATCAGATACTAGGTCATATAAAATATCGCTTAATTAGAAGTAAAATGTCGGCCAATCAGGAATCAGATTTCGTCCAATCAGAAATAAGTTTTCGCTGAAGTGAGCTAAACTTTACATTCATTGAATTGCTTCATTCTATATCAATATCGTCATTTCTTTTCTATTACTTTTTCTATTACCTCTCATCAAGAATATAAGGATGAAAAAAAAAAATAGTATGCGTATTAATGAACCAACCTGGTTTTTTTTATGTGCTTCCATACAACAGATATTATAGCCAGGTTTATCTACATAATACAGCTTAAAATTATGATGATAGGCTACATGTTTTTTTTTAAAAAAAAAAAAAAAAAAAAAAAAAAAAATAACAGCACCACTTCAATTTGATGATTGAGGAGCCATCCTTAGCCAATTCGAGAAAATCAACGCTTGATGAAATCAAAACGCATTGTTTTGTTTGTGTTGATGAAAAATAATTAAATAGGACAGAAATAATCTTTTTTTTTTTTTTTTTTTTTTTTTTTTTTTTGTAAGGACAGGGAAAGATTTTAAAGCGAAAGTGACCGAGGCAAGTAATGGAGCGAGAGCTACCACACTCTTGAGTATGAGCCAGCATTCTGTGAGCATGTTTGACAAATGTCTTCGAATGGAACCCATCTAGTAAAGTTTTACTGCAATTTTCAGATACATCTCTTATAAGAAGATCGGTTTTGTTTATTAAATACACCATTTGGGATTACCATAATCGCTAATTGAGATTTGAAAAAGCGCGAATTGGGTCTTGCGTTGGACATATTATGTACCAGCAGGCGTAAGGCTCATGGATTATCTTTAGATAGAAAACATCTGAGCCAAGTTGAAACCTAGAGACGGAAATAATCCTCTGCTGTTTGCCTCTTGCTCTAAGCTTAGAGTACAATACATCTTGTAAATTTCATTAAAAAAGATTATTCTACAGTGAATAAAATTGCTGTAGTAATCTAGAAATTATCCTAAGCACTTCCTTTGGACCATCAGTGCGATAATACGTCTTTTCGGATGAATCGATTTTGTAGAGGCTCTTGCCAGTAGTCTTGAGAGCTTGAATCATCTAGCATTCTCATTAGAAACATTTACAGGACTGATAGCAAGAGCACCCAAGATACAACTTGCAAGCAATTGTTATTAGACTTGAGGGGTAAGCAAATTGGATATATCAAACTTAAACATGATTGATAAGACATGATGGGAAGTGATATACATTAGGAATGAAATTATATAGAAAATGTTTGATATACATAGAGGTTACAACAGGCAATGGGCTACAGTTTCGTCTTCGGACACAGGCGCCAGGCCCAAGTTCTCCTGTTTTAGCTGTTTGGAGACAGATTGTTGTTCTTGAATATCACCCCATCAAATTATTAGACAAAGCTGTATAGACATCTGCTTCAAAACTTACCAACATGAATGCGAAGAGTTCAAAAACTCTCATATAATCGAGACTGTTCTCAATATTGAGTGGTACTGAAGCTGAACGACAATCAACGACTTTCCAAGTTGATCGAGATTTGACAGCGTATTTGATCAGAGTAATCTTGTTCTTAATGATTTGGCAAGAGAAAATGTTCACTTTCTTAATGGTGTCAAAAGAGGCATTGCGGTACTGACTAAACAAATACTGCACTGCAAAATTTTGAAAAAGATTTATTAAAAATTGACGGCAATCGCGGTGATCACGGTCAAAAAGTGCAGAAATTGATCGCATTCGCAAAGATTACAGTCAAAAATTAACCGCCATCGCCGCGACGGCGGTCGAAAATTCATCGCATTTTTGCTTGTTAATATTTGCTCAAAAATTGACCGCGATAGAAATTTTGCGGTGATTAACTTTAAATGTTCATGGCCGTTCTTGATATTCTTGAGAGTGTCGTTAAGGGAATGAGAGACCACCTTGTCATTGCTAAAGCCGCTGCTTTCCATTACTAGGTAGGTACTATCAACTTTCGCCAAGGTGCCAACGCCATCAAGTAGTTTTAGATTATCCTTCTTTTCCTTGGAGAAATCATTTGAAACAAGCCAGACGTAATCAGCATCCTTTGCTTTCTTTTCAAACCTATATGTTGAAAATTTGAAATGTTGATTAGAATTTTCAGTGTCATATGTTATCTATTACTTCAGTTGAATTACCATGTATAGTTCAATACGCTAAGGCAGTTGCCAAAAGCTTTGAGTATTGGGATATATACTTCACAAAAAATGCTGCGTTCGTCGCTTTTTCCATTAAAGCTACGAGGTTTTAATAGATTCAAGGTGAAACCAAGCAGGGCGTACTGGGCAAATTCAGCAAAAGCACTAGATTCGGAAGTGGGAGGGCCATAATTGCCTTCTTCATTTTCGGACGATCTTGGGTTTACAGAATCGCTAGTAGTTTGCCATAAATTTCATCAGGCACTTCTTTAAGAGACTTGTACAAATTTTGATTATTCATGCAAACCATAAACTCTTGCTTCGTTTCTTCGGTAGCCTTATCTTGATTCGTTCCAATGCAGATGCCAAAATAGTTCTTCAGAACACCTAAATCGCTCGCTTGAATGATGGGTTTGTAAGGTGAAATGATATTCTGCGCTGGTGCTTGGTACTTATATATGTTTTTCTCTTTAACGACCTTCAGAGTTGGAAACTAATTATAATCGTCAGAACTCATGTTCATAATGTAAAATGCATGAACATACTTCCTCTTTTTCTGTGAATGGGTCATCATCGTCGTAAGCATTAGTGCGGTTACCTAATTCAGGCTCATCAGTGAATGATCGTGTAGATGCTAATGATTAAAGTCAAAATTTAGTATTAAAATATGCATTTCTCATACTCTTGTGAATATAGAAGTCTACAACAGACTGGCTTACTTGTAAAATTTCTGTTTCTTCTTCGTCTTCCAAACGACTCGTCAAATCTAACTGTCCTGCATCATTTATGTCTTCGTCAGTCTCATCCTCGTTAAACAGCTGATCCAGTCTACGCTGCATATTCTTCCTGTGAGCTTTGGCTTCAACTGTCGTGAGGATCCGGCTGGTAAAACGAGCATCATTCTGCGCTTCTTCTTCAAGCTCTCCAATTTGATAATCGTTGAGTAGCTTCCTGTATTCCATGTTATTTTTCAGTTTGCTTTTTTCAGTTTCTAATTGTCGAATGAGAGCAGTACTATAATTTTTCAACTTTGCATCTGCATCCTTATTGTTGATTATTCTGTGAAGAGTTCCATTTAATACTGTCATTAATTGCTTTGAAGTGCTCTCCAGTATATCTGTATGCTGAAAGTAAGAGTGAACCAAGTATGCTTACGACTATTTACAGTGCAGTCACAGCCATTCACGGTTCTTGAGTTCCAAAAACTCAAGAACCCTGCCAAGGAGGTCGCCCTCCTATAGCAAAGACTAGCCGCAGCCGCAATATCACAATATATCTTTTTCAATTTAGCTTCTTTTCAAAGAAACAAGAGTCATTACTAACTAACCTTTTTATGTGATCGGTTACTTTCATACGATAAAAGAAGCATGTTAAGGGAAAAGAAAAGGAGAAGAATAAAGTGTGTGAACCAGCTTTATTTGTAGGCTGATAAACAAGCTTATATCAGGATGATTTAATTGCTTGTTTCATGATCCATAATGTTTGAGCCTTTACTTAAAATAGAAACACTTGCAAAAACCTCTCAAGCAAGTCAGAGCTTGGTAATTCCTGATCTAGTTGTATTATGCGATTAGCAGGCCTATATAAGTATGTAGCGCTTCTTTCATGCTACAGAAGGCTCCTTATATTATAATAATAAATCAAGATAACATACTCCTCCTTGATATCTCGTTGTATTGAAAAGTTACGCTTCTTACTTTATAAATAAAGTCAAAGAGAGTTTGTTTCCCGATCGTCCAGATGCAGTCTAATCATCCGATGAGTTCCACTTGACAACTTCTTTAAAAAGCTGTGTTCTCTTGCTATACGATAGTAATTCACGTTGAATTGTACGATTCTTTAGTTTTAGTGGCACGTATAGAACAAATAAAGAGTTGGTGATGCAAAAGTATTTGAATAAAGTTAGTCTTTTAAGAAAAAAGCTAAGAAAAGACGACTTAGGAGTTTTATGATTAGACTGAACAAAAAAAAAAAAAAAAAAAAAATGCCCTCTTAATGTGCGGGGGGAGCACGTGGGCACACAATCCGTGACTTTTTTTTCGTGTTGACAAAAATACACTCTCACGCCCACTGTCCAGGTTTTTTTTGTTCTCCTTGGTTCTCATACTATTATCTTTTCACTCATTTGATTGTACATCATCCTAATGCAACCAAAAAACCCTAACCTCGGAGGGTATTGACGACCTCAATATCTTTCGCCCGTTCTTATTGAGAGCAGAGTTTGTTTTGTTCTGACAATTCTTGTTGCTGTTCGACAATTCCTTATCAGGCCAACGTTCGTGCAAACTCACTGATTACGGGGCCTTCTTCCCGTTCTTAGTGAGGAACAGGTTGTTTGGTTCAGACAAATTCTTGTTTTTGTTCGACAATTCCTTATCAGGCCAACGTTCGAGCATGCGGGACCCCCACCTCGTTCTTAGTGAGGGACAGGTTTTGTTTTGTTCTGACAATTCTTGTTACTGTTCGACAATTCCTTATCAGGCCAACGTTCGTGCAAACTCACTAATTGCGGGGTCTTTATTACTGGCTACTTCATACCCTTTCGACAATTCCTTATCAGGCCAACGTTCGTTGGGAGTCACTGTTTAGTTGGATCCAGCCGTTCTTTGTCACTTTCTTGCTGCAGGGTCCTCAGATCAGGGATGTAAAAGTCTCAGGACGAGAGATGAAAGTGGAGGTGATTGCATTCATTATAGTCCTTTTGGGCTGAGTGTTGGGATGTAGAAATTGAACCCGCCTTATCCTGTTAATGATGCGTATATGTTGTATATGCTGGTTCCTTGTTTGATCACGTTTGATTTGGGCATAGTGTATAAAATCGCTAGAGTGCTTTGGCGCGCGTCCTTTTCTGTGAGGTAAAACATAGTTCACAACATGCTATCCCCTGGGGTAGTCCAACTATACTTATAGGAGGGGTCAAGGCCCTTTACGCCGCCAAATCAGGTCTTCGCCCTGTAAAGGATGGATCTAAAAGATTTTTCTTTTAGTGAACTAAGAATTTGGCATCCTTGTCGTGACTTAGGTCACTCAAAATTTGTTGATATTCAAGACAAGCTTTTATCTCAATCATAATAAAATCATCTTTGACCCTCTAAATAATTTGGCTGTTACATAACAAAAGTCCCACGACATCCCCATGTATATTGAGGCAAATTATTGGTGTGATTGGGTATGATAACGGGCACTGTAATTGTATGTATTGTGCTCTTAAATTATAGTTAGTAAGCGTAGAATAGTTCAGTTTTTACGATACCAATGTATAATATCCGCAAATTCAGTCAACGGGCAGCTACATTATCGTTTTAATTTCGACAAGAGAAAAAAGTAAAGGTGTTGCATTTTATTGCACTCGTATATAAAAGACATTCCCCGTTATTTTACTGTTCATTTCCCCTTTTCTTTTATTATTTCAACATGTCTGTAAATAATCTGGATTATGTTTCTATTTGGTGTGATAAACCTGTACGCGTATATTAACTCGACAACATCAGGATTCTATTTCTGTCCAGAATAGTATAGCTGACTTGAGGCAGTATTTAATGACAAGTCCATGTACATTCAGTACGACGTATGTTTGCGATCATTTTTTTGACCCACTCTTTCCTGCGTTTCGGGAGAGTTTCTCGCTTTGGGATGTCGAGCGATACGCTTCACCGTCAAGTTACATTCATTTGTTTCTTTGGAGATGTTGAATTGGTTCTCTCAGCACATTCATTTCTTTTTCTTACAACTGATCAGTTTCTCTTTTTACAAAAATAAGATTATTTCTCCTATTTAATTATTTTTCATCAACACAAACAAAACAATGCGTTTTGATTTTATCAAGCGTTGATTTTCTCGAATTGGCTAAGGATGGCTCCTCAATCATCAAATTGAAGTGGTGCTGTTATTTTTTTTTTTTTTTTTTTTTTTTTTAAAAAAAACATGTAGCCTATCATCATAATTTTAAGCTGTATTATGTAGATAAACCTGGCTATAATATCTATTTGTATGGAAGCACATAAAAAAAAACCAGGTTGGTTCATTCATACGCATACTATTTTTTTTTTCATCCTTATATTCTTGATGAGAGGTAATAGAAAAGAAATGACGATATTAATATAGAATGAAGCAATTCAATGAAATGTAAAGTTTAGCTCACTTTAGCGAAAACTTATTTCTGATTGGACGAAATCTAATTCCTCATTGGGGTGGACATTTTGTTCGGCCCCAGACGACATAATTTATTGTATCAACTGTACATGTGCTCATTTTAATTTCTATTGAATTTAATTCATCATCCGTGACAACATTTCTCACCACAGGTGACACAAGAAATGGTAAAACACCAAATATAATCTGACTTCTCGTGAAAAAAAAAAAAAAAAAAAAAGCACACACGTTGTTTTTTTTTCAAGTTTATTTGAAAGGGCACGTTTATTATTGGCTTAAATAGTTCTCCTCAAACGATAAATAAAAAGCGGGTTACTTTCTGTTGAATTTCCTTTTTTTTCTTCTTCACAGATATACTTTTTTTTTTGTATACACTTCTTTAACACACTTTTTTTAAATAAGCACTATGGTAAGATAAGCTAAGAGAGAATCAAATAAAGTAGCCCAAAAAGTAGATATTAACGACTTTGTTATGTGATTAAATAGGATGACACTTATGACATTATTGTTCTCGGTACAGGTTTAACCGAATGTATTCTTTCTGGTATTTTTTCTGTCGAAGGTAAAAAAGTCCTTCATATGGATCGTAATGATTACTATGGTGGAGAGTCTGCTTCTTTAAACTTGACACAGCTCTATCGCAAGTACAGACCCGACGAACAGGTCCCTGCCGAATTGGGTCGTGATCGTGATTACAATATCGACTTGATTCCCAAGTTCATGATGGCCAATGGTGAAATCGTACGTTTCTTGACCCATACCGACGTTACTCGTTACCTTGAATTCAAGCAAATTGCTGGCTCCTTCTTTTACAAGGACGGTAAGATTTCAAAGGTGCCTACTACCGAATTGGAAGCCGTCTCTACTTCTTTATTGGGTCTTGTTGAAAAACGTAGATTACAAAAGTTCTTCGAATTTATCCAAAACTATAAGGATTCTGACGAAAGCACGCATGAAGGTTAGTTATACTTATTAAAAAAAAAAGAAGCAGTGGCTCATCCCCTATATAATTAGGCTTAAATCTCGATTCAAACACCATGGTCGATGTATATGCAAAGTTCGGTCTTGAACCCAGTACTCAAGATTTCATTGGTACGTCTCTTATTTATTTGGTTACACACAATAAAAGCTAAAAAAAAACGGGGTCACTTTTTATATATATAGGACATGCTATGGCACTTCATTTGGACGATGATTATCTTCAAAAACCTGCTCGCGAAACCACTGAAAAGATTGTTCTTTATGTCGCTTCTATGGCACGTTATGGTAAGAGCCCTTACATCTATCCCCTTCACGGATTGGGTGAACTCCCTCAATCCTTTGCCAGGTAATATATATAATTATAAAAAAGTCTCCCTATAAGTAAGTTTAAAGAGACTAAACTCCTCGCTTCTTTTTTTTAAAATAGATTAAGTGCTATTTATGGTGGCACCTATATGCTCGATAAGGCAGCTGATGAGATTCTCTATGAAGGAGGTGTTGCTGTGGGTGTTCGTTCAGGTACAGAGACCGCTAGAGCCAAACAAATTATCTGTGATCCTTCTTATGCTACGGACAAGGTCAAGACAACGGGTAAAGTTGTTCGTGCCATTTGTTTCTTGAAACATCCTATTCCCAACACAACCGAATCTGACTCTGTTCAAATCGTGATTCCTCAAAATGAGTTGGGTCGTGGTCATGATATCTACGTTGCCAGTGTCTCTAGTAACCATGCTGTATGCCCCAAGGATATGTATTTGGCTATTGTCTCTACAATTGTTGAGACAGAGGATCCTGAATCCGAAATCAAGGCTGGTTTAGATATTTTGGGTCCCATTCATGATAAGTTTATTCATGTCTCTGATATTCAAGCCCCTCTCAATGACGGTACTGCTGAACAAGTCTTTGTCTCCAAGTCGTATGATGCTTCTTCTCATTTTGAAACTGTGTGTGATGATGTCAAGAGTATTTACACTCGTATGACTGGATCTGATCTTGTTCTCAAGAAGAGATCTGAAGCTGATCATATTGAAGCTTAATACATTCTTTCTATATTCCCCCCCCCCTTAAACACACACACACACACCATTGCATTTTTCTTCTTTGTCAATAAAAAAAAAAAGAACATTTACACTTGACAGCAAGCACAGAAAAAAATACATAGTGACAATAAATAAATTTATTTTATTTTTTTTTTTAAAAAAAGGACTATAAACAGATTTCACTTAAAATATGATAATAATGGTATGAAGCGATAAAGAGGGAGGGAGGAAGCTTTTCTTAAAAAAAAAAAAAACATTTTTACAATCGTCGGGAAGGACCAGCAGCAGAAGAGTTAGATGGACCTGCTTGCTGTGTAGGCATGGTACCGGGAGCTTCACCACCACGGAATAAGTAAATCATTTCAGCAAGACCTAGTCTTTGAATAGGTTCGCCACTACCTTCACCCAGAACACCATCTGCAACTGCCTGTTTCTTATTTTGTAACTCGAGGATACGATCTTCCACTGTATCATTAATAAAGAGACGATGTACATGTACATCCTTTGTTTGACCAATACGATGGACACGATCAATGGCCTGATTCTCAAGTGCTGGGTTCCACCATACATCCAAGATAATCACACGATTCGCAATCGTCAGGTTAAGACCGAGTGAACCACACTTGGTAGAAACGAGCAAGACCTTCACTTCAGGATCATCAAAGAACTTATTCACTGCAGCAGCACGATGTTTCACATCCATGGATCCATCGTATCGCAAATAAGCAAATCCTTTATCCTTTAATGGTTTTTCAATCAAGTCCAACATACCCGTAAATTGTGAGAACACAATAGTTTTATCTTGTCCGTGCGTCTCAATATCCGTCTGATCCAGAATCTCCATCATCTTATCAATCTTGGAACTGGAGACAAAGTCCTGTACTCTTTTTATATCCACCTTTTCCTTTTCTGTCATGGCCAGTTGTGATTCTTCATAGAGATCCGGTGCGTATTTTTTCAAGAAAGTTTCGACCGTCACCAATTTCATATTGTCTAATTCACCACGACATTGAGGACAACGTTTGGTGTTACCATCATTGGCATTCCAATAACCATCAAAGCATTCTTTACAGAGGATATGACCACAGCCTACAATGATCTGAGCATCTTGTGCAATATCCATACAGATGGGACATTCAATTTCTGCTAAACCTGCACTATCATCCAATAAACGTTTGACGACATCGGGTTTCATGGAGGTAGCTAATTGGAGTTGATTGGTAGGTAAAGGTTGAGTGGTTCCATCTCCTTCTTGTAAGGTCAAACTGGGATGTAAACAAGCTTGTCTCAATCGTAAAAGGAGGACGAGCACGGATGAATAATTTTTCATGACAGTACCTGCAGCCATATATTTGTTGAATCGAGCTTGTGCGGTTTGGTTGACAAAGTCATAATGATTTCGTTCATCGGGTGTGAAATCGATATGGGTCATATTGACGTTTCTGGCAGGTAAATCAAGAATGGGTTTACCATCAATCATGGCCTTTTTGGATCGTCTTAAGGAGATGGCCTTCATGAGGACTTGAGCGACCTTGATGGCCTTTTTATGATTACCTGCTTTCATGGGTTTGGCAATACAGTCTCTGAACTCGTCCCATTCACAGAAAGGTCGGATACGTAAGAACTTGATTAATGAGTATAATTCTTCAATCTTGTTTTGGATAGGTGTGGCTGTCATACACCATCTATAAGTAGCATCTACAGCACAACTATATATAAATAAAAAAAAAATTGTGTGTTGAGTTGAGGTTTCTCTTTAAAAGAGAATGAATGCATTGGATCGGATACTTTACCATCCAAGGGCTGCACGTGTATTCTTGTTTTTGATGGTATGGGCTTCATCAAGAACAACTCGGTGAAAGTTGACTTTGGCAAAGGGACCTTTGCTTGTTTCTTGAAAGTTACTTGCTGTTACTGCATAGGAAGAAATAATCACTATAAAAAAAAATTTAAAGGGGTTAGTGGAACGGCAATGACAAAAAGTCTTTCACAGCTCTTTTTTTTTTTTGTTTTTTTACCATCGTATTTCGCAAGATCGTATGGACTTTGTGTTCTGGCAGCACCATGATAAACCAACACGTTTAATTGAGGTGTGGTTTTTCCTTGAATCTCTCGACGCCATTGATCAATAAGAGAGACAGGACACACAATCAAGGTTGCTTTGATGTTTATTTTTTCGGTTACAGTTTGTCTTCTTCCAATACTTGAATGGTCAATCTCTGTAGCGTTCTCGCACGTATTGTGAACCATGATGGCCATAGCTTGAATAGTCTATATGGGTTGTACGAATTGAATTTAATAAAAGCCCAACTTAAAAAAAATAAATAAAGTGTATCTACCTTTCCGAGACCCATATCATCTGCCAAGATACCACCCTTATTTTTAGAGGCTTCCATCTTGATCATCCACTGCAAACCAATCTTTTGATGTTCCAACAATGTAATGTTGAGTCCATCGGGGGTTCCAGCTCTTGCATCGGGTCCTGGAGGTTCATCATACATGACATGTTCCAATAATTCGCGTAATTCCTTTTCAGTCTCCTCCGCACTCAAGATAGGCGCATTATAACCCGCGATTTGAGGTAAGGATCTTTGTGAGCGTTCAAATCTCGCGATGGATTCCATATGAGCACCGTAATGATGAAAACCAAAGCCTTCATCACCAAACAATCTGAAATCAGGTTCTTCCCAACCACTACTATTCGTACTTTCACCTGTGCCACCCCTGAAAGGAGGTGGGGGCATACCGTTATGAGGTCTTCTGTTCCAAGGAACAGCGCTAAGATAATCCTCTTCGGAATCATAGCCCAAGTCACTGTCATCATCATAGTGTTCAATCATATGATGATCATGATAAGGATCATAATGTGGTATGGTAGATGATGCTGCTGCTGCTGCTGCGGAAGAAGAAGAGGCCACGTTATCATCTGTCAAATCAATGCATTCGTCATCATCATCAATCACAGTAATCGGACGTTTTCCTTTATCTTCGATCTTGGGACGTTTGTTGAGTTGATTACCAATATTGTCAATTTCTCTCTTGATGGTACCTTGCGACATGAAGGAAGGGGCTCTTTCAACGATAGCTAAAGATTCTACAGGTCTGGTACTACTACTGCCTATGTCGTTGATGTTATTGCTGGCGGTGCTAGACTGAGGAGGCAAGTATCTATCTCTTTCAAGTTGACGTTGAAGTTCTAATGCAGCTTCATGATCAGCTTTGTGTTGTTTTTCAAGTCTTTCAGCAATCATTCTTTGGTTCCGAATCTCTTCCACGTCGATACCCAACATGGCGAGTTCTTCAGGATCATCGAGACCCGCTTCCACAAAGAAAGCAAAGGTATCGTCGTCAATGGGAATACTATTGTTAATATTGGATCCAGGTGCCGTTGTATTGGCATTTGTGCCATTGATAAATTCTATTTCTTCTGCAGTCAAATCTAGGACTAATTCTTCAGGCGAATCAAGATAATGAACAGGTCTGACAGTGTCTACAGGAGAATCAAGATAGTGAACAGGTCTGACAGTGCTGACAACAGGTTCAACAGCTTGTTGACCAGGTTCCGCGTTATTACGGTCTGTATTGATATTCGACATCTTTTTTTTTTATTCTACTACTATTATACACAGAAAAAAAAAAAAAAAAGATAGCAAGTAATGAGGTGTAGGGGGAAAAAAAGAAGGTGTTTATTAGTATAAAACTGGTAGGTTAACAGCCTATGTAACAGTCACACGCCATTCCTTTTTTTTATTTTTATCTTTTGGCTTTGTTATTGACATCCACCACCACTGCTCAAATGAAGGTTGATGGCGGGCAAGCTGAGGGAGTACCTTTTTTTTTATCTTTCTTGTAGTGTGTGAACCCTAGCGAACCATGTTTCATTTGTTCCTGGTTTGTATGAGATTCATATCCAATCGGGATGCTTTCAATAAAACGTTTTTTTGCAAAGTATTCGTATACTTTTCTACACTAAAGAACCTTAACCTTAGTCTGGTAGTGTGGAATAACAACGTCATTTCTTTCACTCTAATTTTTTTTTTTTTTTTTTTTTTTTTTTTTTACCTTATTTTAGTACTTCATGGGTGTAAAGTAGTCCCGACACTAACTAACAGAACACAATAATGATAATAATGATAATATTAAAGGATTGTTTTGTAAAAGAAGGTTTCCTTTCTCCTTTCTTTTATTTTTGACAAATGGCTTGATTTTTGTGTGATCTCGGAACGGAATTTCAATTTGGTGTGCAACCTTAACCATACAATACAAAAGGATTTCTTTTTTTTTTTTAAACAAAAGGAGATCAAGGTAGCGCTTCTTTTTGGTTTATAATCTAGTCACACATTTGAGTCAAGGTATTTATTGTACTTATTACTACAAAAAGCTGTTGTGCGCTTTTTGACAAGATATCTATCTGTTGTTTGGTTGTAATGCAGGATTTTTTTTTTTTTTTTTTTTGGTTATTTAAGTTTTGACAATTGATCAGAGATGTTCGGCCATCATCAAATCAACCACTGTATTTTTTAGCATGGCATACAGAATAAATGTATTTCCATAATCACTGCTTTTTTTTAATTACCATGTATCTAGTTGTTATGGCCAGATTTTTTAAAAGACAGGAAAGCATAGCAACTAGATATAAAATGTCAAAATACAGTTTCAATGGATGAATTTAATTTTTTTAAAAAAAGTGCATTGTTTTCCATAATCAAAATGTTTATTCATGTTTTGACCATACTCTACGAAACAATGTAGATATGAGTAGCTTTCAGTGTTGGCTCTTTATAGGACAATTCTAAACAATGCCAAGTAAAGGAAAAAAATACAATTGTTTCAAAGTTAATAAGTGTCAAATAAACTACATTAGCATCTTTTTTAAACCAAATAAGATGGGGGGCGTATTTTCTTAATAAAGTTACACTAATACAGAAATCAGCACAACTGATTGCATAATTTTCAAGATTCTTTTGACTCATTGCGATATGACCAACACATCTAAGCAGTCACTTTTTTTTTTAAATATCTTTTTTTGGGAAATCTGACAAGATCTTTAAAGGTTCCCCCCTTGAGTTTCTATTTTCTTCTTCTTTACTTTATTAAAAACACTAAAAAAAATGGCTCAAAAGATTGGTAAAGTATACAAAAAATGACATTGTTACAAGAGAATTCAATGCTGACACGCGTTCAACAGCTATCCTTTCCGTCTACGATAAGACTGGTTTACTTGACTTTGCCAAGGAACTTCATGCTTTAAACGTTCGTTTGCTCGGTTCAGGTGGAACTGCTAAACTCGTTCGTGAAGCTGGTATCCCTATTGGGTAAATACTTACAGAACAAAAAGAATAGGCTATAAGCTTTTACTCATTAAACTATTCCCCTTCTTTCTTTTAGTGATGTCTCAGAGATTACCAAAGCTCCTGAAATGTTGGGTGGTCGTGTCAAGACCTTGCACCCTGCTGTTCACGGTGGTATGACATATATATTTAACGCGTATTTCGATACAAGGTTGTAATTCATTCATTTTTTTTTCTGATCAGGTATCTTGGCCCGTAACATCGAGAGTGACGAAAAGGATCTTGCTGAACAACACATTGAAAAGATTGATATTGTTGTCTGTAACCTCTATCCTTTCAAGGAGACCATTGCTCAACCTGATGTGACTATTCCTCAAGCTGTTGAAGAGATTGATATTGGTAATACTAAGTGTGTGTGTGTGTGTGTGTCTGTTCAAAAAGTTTAACTTTTTTTTTTTTTTAATTTTGATAGGTGGTGTTACTTTGCTTCGTGCTGCTGCCAAGAATCACGCTCGTGTTTCTATTGTTTCTGATCCTATTGATTACTCCAAGATCATTGAAGAGCTCAAGTCTGGTGAAATCACCCAAGAGACTCGTAACTCTCTTGCATTAAAGGTAAGATGGAATAGAAAAAAGTGTTTTCTATCGTCAATTAACCCCGCTTCTATTTCTTTAGGCTTTCAACCAAACTTCCGACTATGATAGTGCTATTTCTGATTACTTCCGTCACCAATATGCCAAGGGAGAAGCCATGATGCCTCTTCGTTATGGTGCCAACCCTCACCAAGCCCCTGCCCAAATCTTCATCAAGGATGGTAAGTTACCTGTCAAGGTCTTGAGTGGATCTCCTGGTTACATCAACTTTTTGGATGCCTTGAACTCTTGGGCTTTGGTAAAGGAATTGAAGGAAGCCACCGGTGTTGCTGCTGCTGCCTCTTTCAAGCATGTTTCCCCCGCTGGTGCTGCTATTGGTCTTCCCTTAAACGAAGTTGACCAAAAAGTTTACCAAGTAGATGACTTGAAGGTTCCCTTGACCCCTCTTGCCAATGCCTATGCTCGTGCTCGTGGTGCTGATCGTATGTCATCTTTTGGTGATTTCATTGCCTTGTCTGATAAGGTGGATGTTGCTACTGCCAAGATTATTAACCGTGAGGTTTCTGATGGTGTGATTGCCCCTGGTTATGATGAAGAGGCTCTTGAGATTTTGCAAAAGAAGAAGGGAGGTAAATATTGTGTTCTTCAAATGGATCCCAGTTATGTCCCTGAACAACAAGAAATCAGACAAGTCTATGGTTTATACTTGGAGCAAAAGAGAAATAACTGCAAGATTGATGCTTCTCTCTTTACCAACGTTGTTACCAAGAACAAGAACGTGAGTAAATTTTTTCTTTAGATACAATATAAAAAAGCAGTGAACTGACACAGATAAAAAATTTTAGTTGCCTACTGAGGCTGTCAACGATTTAATTGTTGCTACTATTGCTCTCAAGTATACCCAATCTAACTCAGTTTGTTATGCCAAGAACGGTATGGTGATTGGTCTTGGTGCTGGACAACAATCTCGTATTCATTGTACTCGTCTTGCTGGTGATAAGGCTGATAACTGGTGGATGCGTCATCATCCCAAGGTGCTTGCATTTGACTTTAAGAAGGGTACAAAGCGTGCTGATAAGTCCAATGCCATTGATCTCTTTGTGACCAACCAAACTGGTGAAGGTGTTGAACTTGAAGCCTGGAAATCTAACTTTAACACAGTGCCTACACTCTTCACTGCTGAAGAACGTAAGGAATGGATGGATAAGCTTACAGATACTGTTTGTGCTTCTGATGCTTTCTTCCCCTTCTCTGATAACATTTACCGTGCTCATCGTTCCGGTGCCAAGTATGTTGCTGCTGCCTCTGGATCTGTTCAAGATGCTGTAGTCATTGAAGCTGCCGATAACAATGACATGGTTCTTGTTCATACCAACTTGAGACTTTTCCATCATTAAGTAACCAACCCAACCAAAAAAAATGTATTATAAAATTTCAAAAAGCGACCCGCTTTAAATAAAAAAAAAATCGTGTGTGTGAGCTAAAAAAAAAAAAAAAGAAAGGCACGCGGTCTTTTTGTGTTATTTCTCTCTCTCTCTTTTTTTTTTTTATTCGTTGTAATTATAAAATGGGACAATCTGGCTCGCAGCTTGAAGACATGGTTAATTCTTCCAACTGTAAATAGACTCTTCATAAAATATAACCCAAAAAAAAACTGACAAAATAAATAACAATACTAGTTTCTGCAGAAGAGATTCAACGTCTTTATAAGCGTTTCATGAAGTTGGATAAAGACAACTCGGGGTCTATCTCCAAGGAAGAATTCTTGTCTATTCCTCAAATAGCTAATAATCCTTTAGCTTCACGTATGATTGCTATTTTCGATGAAGATGGAGGAGGAGATGTTGATTTCCATGAGTTTATTAAAGGTCTTAGTGCCTTTAGTGAGCGTGGTAATAAAAGAGAGAAACTTGAATGTAAGTCGTAGTAACATACCCCCAATAACGAAGAGCTCTTTTTATTTTATTTTTTCTGACTCAATAGACTTTGATTCTTAGTCGCGTTTAAAGTATACGATATGGATAGAGATGGATTTATTTCAAACGGTGAATTGTTCCTTGTGCTTAAGATGATGGTCGGCAGTAATTTAAAGGATAACCAGTTACAACAAATTGTCGATAAAACAATCATGGAAGCCGATAAAGATGGAGATGGAAAGATCAGTTTTGAAGAGTTTTTGGTCATGGTTGAAAATACAGATGTCGCTAAACAAATGACGCTTGAAAGCTTTTAATTTTTTTTTTAAATAACCACTGTAATATATTCCACATAAAAAAAAAAAAAAAAAAAAAAAAAAAAAAAAACCACACGCTCATTTCATAAATATTCCCATGTTCCTTAATATTGTAAATGGTGGTATCTTTGTTTTTAATCATTGGTTTATGTACATGGCCCCACTTTTTTTTTGTTGTTGTTGTTGTTCAGTTTGTGTCTTAAACGATTTCAACTTCAATATCCTCTTCTTCATCTTCTTGTAATTGTTTACTGCATACTTGATCTACTTCCTGGCAATAATCTTCTTCGTCTTGTAAAGCCAGTGCAAGAGCAAGATTCTCTTCTTCATCTTCATTATCGCTCTCAGCATTAAATAATTGTTCTTCCAGTAAGTCTTCTCCATCGGCTTCACATTGTGCTACTAGATCTTGAAACCAAAGATCGAGACATTTGTCGCTCTCGTCCTTCATGCGTTTCGCTTCTGTATTTGACTCATCGGCAGAAAGACTTTCAATCTGAAGCATCAATAGACGAAGAGAGTTTAATAATTCAGCAGAGATCTCGCCCGAAGAAGGGGTAGATTTGATTTCTGCAAGAATAGCTGTCAAGTCGTTTAACAAGGTGTTATTGCGTGGCCGTTTCACTTGTTCTTCGTCTTCTATCGATAAACTACGTTTACGGGTAGTTGTATCTGACATTGTGCTTGTATATCAATAGATAAAAAAATAAAAAAACCCTACTTTCTCCCAGAGAAAGTGAAAAATAAAAAGAAAGTAAAAGGGAAAAAAAAGAGAAGCGTGTATATATAATATATGTGTGTGTATGTGTGTGTGTGTGTGCGTGTGTGCTTAGGAGGTGGCTTATTTACAGAAACATGAATTTTTTTTTTTTTTTTTTTAATTTTTTTTTCTTTTTTCCATCTCTTTGTGATGTTCTAATAATGCTTTCTCCACATTACCCGCATCATCGTAGACCAACACACCTTGCTTCCAGGATCCATATTCGAGCCCAATTTTCTTATTAGCTTCATATTCTCGTGTAATATCCTCAGCATTCCCCTTCCAATCACGGTATAATTGCAGATTTTGACGTCCGATTAATCGGATACATTTCACACGTAAATCATTTGTTGACTACATATCCCATCATCATTAGCCTCTTTACACTTTTATATATATATATGAAGTACAAACTCACCCATTTTGGTAGTGATTCTTTGGATATTTCACCAAAATGTCCAATACCATGCTTTTCAATACCTTCAATCAAGAGTGCTTTTTCGGCCTCTCCCCATTTACGAGCCTCTTCTATCTTTGCGTCCTTGGGTGGACGAAAGTAACTGTTTTTTAAGGGTGTCAATAACTCATGGGCGCTACCCAAGAAAAAGAAAAGAGGGGGAACTTACTCTTGGTTTAAACTGCCGTCAGGATGAATAACATTTTTACTAGGATCAGGGTCATCGTGGGCACAAAACTTCAAACGAAATTGTGTAATCCATTCTTGTCTTGCTTTCATTGTTAATTCATCGTCGGTATAATTTTCTTCAGTTGTGTCCATGGGTGTATCATCAACCATCATGTCCTCTGTCTTTTCCATGCTGTATGTTATGTATATGAATGAAAAAAAAAAAAATAAAGAAAAAAAAGAAACAACAAAAAAAAAAAAAAGTCGCGTCTTGATTTTTTAATTTTATTTTCGACGTGACGGTATTGTTGAATTTTATTTGGTTTGGTCATGGAGATGAATCTTTACTGAATTGGTATAGGCTAACCACATGTGTGACATTTGTTCAGCGTTTTTGTTGTCCTTGTTCACATTCTATAGGTGCAATTAAAAAAAAAGTGTTCAATGACAGTCTGGAATAAGGTAAGTGTATGGTGGCATTACCTCTATTTTATCATTGATAACATTCAAATTGCGGTTTAATTTACTCTGTCAATTAGTGTTAGTTTTGGGACTGCACGAAAGAGGGTTTTGAGACAAATACATACAACATTTGTTATAATACGATGTAAAATTTTATTTTGCTGCTCCTCATGAGGATTCTCCATTATAAGTATAAGAGAGCAAAAACAAAAAAAAAATGGGGTTGCTGATCCCATTTTTTAAAGGCGTATTAGACAGTCCCTCCTGACCATCTATTTTTTGCAACAATGAATCGCTCGTTGCTATGTTTTTATCTTTATTTGTAATAACAAAGATTTCTTCAATAACTCCGTATTGCTTTGGCATCTCGTACAATGTAAAATATAGCTTTCATTAAAAACAAGCGAGTATCCAAGGTGGCCATATATCAGTCTACATAGGGTAATCTAAATGCTTATTTACTTTTTCTTCTTCTTCCATTTCTATGGCTACCAGACTCGTAAACTCCGTCTAATACGCCAAAACAAAGAGTCGCCATTACATTTCGCGTAACCGCCAGAAACGTGATGATGAAGGCCAAGGCTATCAATTTCTACAATGCGGATCAAGCTTTACGTCTCCAATCCGGCACTGATTTACTACTATATCAGATAGTGCGATACGGGCAGCATATAGCTGTTAGCATTTTGCAGATCAATCTAATACATTCTATTTAGGCCCACTGACAAGCATAGTGAGATAAAAGTATGACTTTAATTATGGTGAAAATAGACTAAAAGAAATCTGTTGCTATGAAATCATATAACCCTTTTAAATTATTGCGCAACTGCTCTTGGAAAATCAAAGATACTCGTCCAAAAATTCTTTTTGACAGGTTTACAGATACAGTCGTTCCAACGCCAAAGGGCGGTTTTGATTCATCCAATGGGCGGTTATGATTTTTCGCAAAAGGTGGTTTTTATTTTATCAAAGGGCGGTTTTTGTCACAAAAAAAATAAACCTCTGACTTTTGCTCTGACTTTCCTCTGACTTTGCTCTGACTCTCCTCTGACTTTCCTCTGACTTTCCTCTGACTTTCCTCTGACTTTCCTCTGACTTTCCTCTGACTTTGCTCTGACTCTCCTCTGACTCTCCTCTGACTTTGCTCTGACTTTCCTCTGACTTTGCTCTGACTCTCCTCTGACTTTGCTCTGACTCTCCTCTGACTTTGCTCTGACTTTGCTCTGACTTTGCTCTGACTCTCCTCTGACTTTCCTCTGACTTTGCTCTGACTTTGCTCTGACTTTCCTCTGACTTTCCTCTGACTTTGCTCTGACTTTCCTCTGACTTTCCTCTGACTTTCCTCTGACTTTGCTCTGACTTTCCTCTGACTTTCCTCTGACTTTGCTCTGACTTTGCTCTGACTCTCCTCTGACTCTCCTCTGACTTTGCTCTGACTTTGCTCTGACTTTGCTCTGACTTTCCTCTGACTTTCCTCTGACTTTGCTCTGACTTTGCTCTGACTCTCCTCTGACTCTCCTCTGACTTTGCTCTGACTTTGCTCTGACTTTGCTCTGACTTTCCTCTGACTCTCCTCTGACTTTGCTCTGACTTTCCTCTGACTTTCCTCTGACTTTCCTCTGACTTTCCTCTGACTTTCCTCTGACTTTCCTCTGACTTTCCTCTGACTTTCCTCTGACTTTGCTCTGACTTTGCTCTGACTTTCCTCTGACTTTCCTCTGACTTTCCTCTGACTTTCCTCTGACTTTCCTCTGACTTTCCTCTGACTTTGCTCTGACTTTCCTCTGACTTTGCTCTGACTCTCCTCTGACTTTCCTCTGACTCTCCTCTGACTTTCCTCTGACTTTGCTCTGACTTTCCTCTGACTCTCCTCTGACTTTGCTCTGACTCTCCTCTGACTCTCCTCTGACTTTGCTCTGACTTTGCTCTGACTTTGCTCTGACTTTGCTCTGACTTTGCTCTGACTTTGCTCTGACTCTCCTCTGACTTTCCTCTGACTTTGCTCTGACTTTGCTCTGACTTTCCTCTGACTTTCCTCTGACTTTGCTCTGACTCTCCTCTGACTTTGCTCTGACTTTCCTCTGACTCTCCTCTGACTTTGCTCTGACTTTCCTCTGACTTTGCTCTGACTTTCCTCTGACTTTCCTCTGACTTTCCTCTGACTTTGCTCTGACTTTGCTCTGACTTTGCTCTGACTTTGCTCTGACTTTGCTCTGACTTTGCTCTGACTTTGCTCTGACTTTGCTCTGACTCTCCTCTGACTTTGCTCTGACTTTCCTCTGACTCTCCTCTGACTTTCCTCTGACTCTCCTCTGACTTTCCTCTGACTTTCCTCTGACTTTCCTCTGACTTTGCTCTGACTTTGCTCTGACTTTGCTCTGACTTTGCTCTGACTTTGCTCTGACTTTGCTCTGACTTTGCTCTGACTCTCCTCTGACTTTCCTCTGACTCTCCTCTGACTTTCCTCTGACTCTCCTCTGACTTTCCTCTGACTTTCCTCTGACTCTCCTCTGACTTTGCTCTGACTCTCCTCTGACTTTGCTCTGACTTTCCTCTGACTCTCCTCTGACTTTCCTCTGACTTTCTCTGACTTTGTGACTGTTTATCTCTGACTTTTTCCTCCTCTGACTTTTCCTCTGACTTTCCTCTGACTTTTCCTCTGACTTTTCCTCTGACTTTGCTCTGACTTTGCTCTGACTTTTCCTCTGACTTTTTCCCTCTGACTTTTCCTCTCAAACATGGCTCACAACAAAAATCTTCGTTGTCTAGCTTGTAATCTTGAATTTGAAACAGAATCCAGATTATCGAACCATAATTATGACACGCATGTTGACTCTATCCAGGTGACTTTTGATGACGGTAAGATAACACCTGCTCAAAGTAAGAAGGTAAGGATTTGACCTTCCTATTTTTAGAATTGATTACAGTTGAGAGGAGCAGTGACAAATTTCAGTGTCCAAAATGCGAAAAACAATTAAAAACGCCTACAACATTAAAAAGGCACATTGGAAAACATTACGAATCTATAGGCAATGCTGGAAAAAAACAAAGGCTTTCTGAACCAGAAGATATTAACGAGGAATTTCCCTCAATCAGTTTAGATCACCAAGCACCTGACGCTGAAACGATTGATTTGCAAGCGGACAGCTCAAGTTCATTTCCTTCCACTTCACATCTAGAAAAAGATACTGCAACGCTTATAGCCATGAATGCCCTCTCTCTCTCAAAAAGGGAACAAGAGAAATGTTTAATGCTTGCCGACTTGGCAGATTTGGAGCCAATTATCATTTTGGCAGAAAATGGGAAGAAATATCACATGCTTGCCTCTCCAAAAACCATTCAATGTGTACTTACAGACCAACCTACTGGAACGTGGAAATTGCCAATTTCTAATGACAGAGAAGCTCAAAATTGACTTGAGCAAGCTTTTTTGTCTCGTGTATACTGCGGAGATTATAATGCTTTATTCTTTCATTAAAAACAAGCAAAAACTTTATTAAGAAAGTAGTAATAGGTATTATGATGAATGTTAAAGGCATTTTTTGGTATACAGTGATGAAAAATAAAAAAACGAACATTCATTTTGATAAGTACTTGGAAAATATCTCTTTTGCTTTTTTGTTGGCGTTGGATATACAAGTTGTCATGGAATCAGCTAATTTTTGTAATTTTTGACTAAGCTCCATGTTGTTGATAATAGATATTGATTGACCTTGTTCCATATCTAAAATTTGCTTGATTATTTCTTTTATCTTATTATCATTCAACTGTACGTATAAATTATTGAAAGTCTTCATCTCTACACGAGCATTAGCACCATCTGCTATCACAGCAAGGGCAATACTTTGGAACATCAATGATAGCTTTTGCGATTGTGAATCCAAACTCTGGTTAGAGTCATAGTTATACAGTGTCCAAATAGTATAAGGCTGAAAAGTCATGTCAGTAGAAAGGGAACTAAACGATCTGCAAAGGGTGTATGCAGACATACAGTGAAACTTGCTGCGCAGTTGTCTTAATTGCGACAAGTTCAACATTAATATAAATAAATTTATATCGTGAAACTGCGAATGGCTCATTAAATCAGTTATGATCTACGTGACATATTCTTTACTACTTGGATGATAGCTTGCTGGCTATTTTCATTAAATTTTCCAGTTTGTCCAAATTACCATCGTCACATAGTACTATTTGTTCATTAATAGCTTCTGTAAATGGTTTGCTAGACCTTTCTTGTAAAGACGCACCACTGTAGATTCCTCGATGACCCCAGATTTGGCTTGACAATGCTTAAATCGCATGTTGTAGTCTCCAACCGTTCCATTTTCCTTCATCGATATGGCGAATAGCTTGTTGGATGTTTCGGACTTGGCTTCGTTAATATCCTTTCCATAAGCTCTAATCAGCGTGTCTCTGATTTGATTCCATCGTGCATATTTCTTATTGTCCAGATGATTAATTTGCAATTCCTTTTTCATGGGTTCGGAAAGACAACCTGGAAGTAAACGAGCCCAATTGGTATCTAGGTTCATGTCATTGGTCGCTACTATATTTTCGAATTCCTCTACACATGCTTCGATATTCTTAAACACTCTTCTTTTGGTGCTTAATACATGCGATTTCCACTGGAAAAGAAAAGGGATACCCGCAGGTACAAAGGCGTGGGAGTCATTACTAAGAACCTTGGAGCATTTCATCATTAATTCGAGAGTGCTTGTTAACATACGATGTTTTCGCTGAACATCCTTCAACACTTCTTCATCATCACCATTGCTGGCCAATACAAGCTGGATTGAATTCAAATTCATCTTTGCGCGAATTTTCTTCCATTTCCAATGCCTCATTGTATACAGGATTTGATTCATTCATTCGTACAATATCCTCATCCAATTCCATGAAAGAAATTTCGGCGTCTTCAGCCTCCAAATCCTCGAAATTGTTGTTCAAACCCAAGTTGTCATTACTGTCAATTGGGACGGAATCCTGTGGATTCTCATTATTACAGATACCCTCAGATCGCTCACTGGGATTGATGCCACTTCTCGTCGTAGAAGTCTCTTCGTTGGAGTCTTGTCCGATAGAACTTCTTGTATTCTTCTTGGGAGTGGAGTAAGCCATATTAAGATTTAAGGTTTTGTTAGTCCCATGAATTAATTGAAATCGCCCCTTTGTTTTCGATAATCGTATTGGCAAACTTTATAGATTCTTCATTCAAGTAAATCGAAACGTTTTCTTTAGGAAAAACGAATTTCAGTGTTGGAGCCTAATTCTACCACTCCGTTTGTAGTCGCTGCATGATTATCGATTCTTAAACTGGAAGTAATTAACCAAGTTAAATGTCAAAAGGCCAATTTTTAGTTTGGTTATATTGTCTTCTTCAACAGCAGCGGTTGTAATCCATCCGTACTTCGTTTCTTTTTTAGGGAAGGATGACTGGCTTAAGGTTGACTTGGTTCTTCTTTCGAAATGAGCATCAACAATTCGAAGCCTACCATAGGGCTCCAAGCCATTTACCAATAGTGCTGCATATTCATATATAATCACCGCTCCAGAAAAAAGTTGTGGAATTGCATATCTGAGTTGTGGAAATTGAATCCAGTCTTTACTTATCATACAGACGGTAGATTTAGACAGTTCAACATATTTTGTATCGTTCGATACATAATCTTTGGCTTGTTTTAAATCAGCCACTTTTTGTTCAATAAGGTGGAGGAAGGGGACACCCACTCTGCAACTTTCCAAAGCTATCAAGTATTGTGAATACTCTTGCTAAATGTCCACAGAACGTGAGTACCGTCATTTAATAATACAAATCTTATAGTTTACCTGAGTCAGAGCATCATAGAGGGTGAAAATTCCGTCTTTGACCAGAGCTGTTGTCTTTTGTGATACATTTTCAAAGAGTCAGTTTGTTTGGGAATGCAGCCTAAATTGGGTGGTAAATCTCACCTAAAGCTAAATATTTGCGAGAGACCGATAGCGAACAAGCACCGTGAGGGAAAGATGAAAAGAACTTTGAAAAGAAAAAAAACATGTGAGAATTTAGTCATTATAACTTGAGTATGTTAAATACTTTGAGACTCATTTCCTCTTTTGTTTAATTCTTTTAAGGCCTCGGCCTGTCTTTTTGTAGGTGCAACGTTAGTTAAAAAGAGATTAATATTGATACTATTTTATTTCAACTGAAAGAAAGGCAAATGAAGAACGCCAAGAAATTTTTTTCACTTTGTAAACAAATAGATTGACGTCAGCACTTGATTGTGAGTCTAGAAAGCACATTATGATCATGCATAATTTTGAAGGAAAAGGCACTTCATTTTAGATCCAGCTTTTCTTTGAGCAATGAGTGTCTGTAGCGGACTATGTAAGGTGGATCAAGCATCCTGTTTCGTTTGTTGAGAGATGATTGTCCGTTGAACCAAATATGCCGTACCATACATTCTAGTTGATATCGCTATCAAGAGATAAAGCTTTGTAATAATCAATAATGATAAATGGGGCTCCCCTTCGGCGTCGCTGATCCCATTTTTTTGCAGGCGTATCAGACGATGTCCTCCAACTATATATTTTTTGACCTACGCTACGCTGCGGTAAAAATACGTGGTTCCCGGAGGATCCATCATTCCATTCGATTTAAGCAAATAGCCATACCGGCCTGTAATAAGTAGTGAAAGAAGTTGAAAGTGTACGTTTTTTTAAAAGAAGTTTTTATGATATTTACATTTCCCAATATAGTAATTTTTGACTTCTTTTTTTTTTGTCTCAATACCAAAGGCATTTACACTACGTATTACACACTTCGTCTGATACGCCAAGAAGAAGTGAAAATAGAAACAATATAGAAGAAAGTAACAATTTTATTAGAAACTGCGGTATGTAATGTGATTAAAAGAGATAGAAGTACAAGGTAATTTATAAATAAGTGATTGTTTACAAGGAAAAACCAATGGCTGCAACAGCAGCAGCAGCAGCAGCGATGGGAAGCATACCAGCATAGAGGTTATTGGCAGCACTTGTAGTACTGCTACTACTGGTAGGAGAAGCCCCATGAGCTGAAGCAGTGGCGGTGCCCTTCATAGCAATAGCATCTGCAGCGGCTTGAGTAGCGTTCTTGACAATGAGAAGAGTAGGGGCAGGCTCACCAGATACTGCAGGGGGAATGCTAGTCCAATTTGCAGTTCCAACCTCACTGTATAAAATAATTGAGAGGGTTAGATTTTCACACAACTTAGAACTTGTATTTAGTCATTATGTTTAACTAACCATGTCTGAATAATAGGAAAGTACAATGTAACATTGGATTGAGCAGATAAATCAACGTTGGGTACAGTCAAGCTTAAAGGGAAATCAAGAGCATCCTCAGGAGAAAGTTTTCCACCAAACCAAGTAATTGTTTCTACAGAAGCATTTGAACTGTCGCGATAAGTAGTAGTCAAGTTCTATTTGACTTTTTAATTAGTATACAATATATTTTTTTGGAGATTTATTCATGACATAAACATACCCAGTTAGGGACGGATTGAGCAGTAAGAGCAGTAATTTCTTTAGGAATGGTAACAAAGATACTAGTGGTAGAAGATCCGTTACAGCCATGAGGAACATGGAACGATGTGCTCAAGTTTTGGCCAGGCTGTTATTATTATAGCGCGCTTAGATATACAATGACTTTATTGTCTGAATGAGATGAATAGACTTACCTCCGCATACTTTGGTGACAAAGTGACATGAGCACTAACAGTAGAGAGAGCCAAAGCTAAAGCAGATAAAGCAGCGCGAGTAAAGACCATAATTGTAATATGCAAAGAGGATAGAAGAAAGGGATAATACTTTAATATAAGTCGTGCTTAACATTCGTCTTTTATAAGAATTATAAAAGTGTAGCGAAATTAGCTCAATGACCAATAGATCGTATCCAAAGCCTTTTAAGATCCGATGAGTACATCTCTTTTGTACCTCTTTAAACTCAATTTTCAGGACCGTGTTCCATCGCAGGTACTGGGAGCACAATCATGTTATCATAACAAAAACTGATGAAACGTCAATTGGCTTCATTACCATGTAAAAAAGGTGTTGTCTCCTCCTTCCGACTTATTACCCCTGAACTTGACAACAGGGTTCTTATATACCTGCTACGCCAAATGGAATGTTCGAAATGCAATGTGAGGTAGTTAAAAAAAAAGTTCAAATAGCATCATAAACATGTCTTATTGGAAGCCGGAACATTTCTCAAGGTTTCTTGTAGTCTTTCTTGTCCTGCAAATCAAAAGACAAACCGTAGCATAAATTTCTCATTTTGGTGTAACCGCGCTCCAAATCACGAATGAAAATTTAACAATACTTTATGTCGTGTAACACAGCGTTATAAAAATGAAACATTTGAGTCATCTATTGTGCAAAGACACACGAATAAACACGAAATATTTCGTTTATTCTTGGTTTTTTTGTTTAGAAAAATACAACACAGTAAAATCTTACTGTATCTTTTTTTTAAAAAAGTACAGCTACCAATATGCATCAAGTTGGCGCAACCATGCAAAAAAGGAAAAAAAAAAAAAAAAAAAAGACGGGTCCCTGAATAACTAAAAAATTTTGGAGATGGAAATTTAAGGATACCTGTGATTATATGTCTTGGGTTAAATCAATCAGCGAAATCGATGCGTAGAATAATAATAATCAGCTGTTGTTACATAAAATGAGCAAGTTTACATTGATCACATAACAAAGTTCCTCTCATTTTGTTTTGTTTTTGGGGAGCTTCTATGCGAGATAATCCTGAACAGCTTGCAGATCCTTTCAAAATAACAAAAAAAAAACATTACGAGTTATTCGTCATCATATTAGTTTAAACTGTGACTAGTCCTTTGTGGTAATTTTGATAATCAACTCTCCCGTAAATTAGTCAAGGTTCCGCTGTCCAATCGCACACTTAACAGGCTTCCGATATTATATAATTACCAAAAGTCATAGATTGACAAAAAGGAGTAGTTTTCCTAGTAACTTCGTTTTATTATCAATGTCCTTGTATTTTTGAACTTTCAAATGGTGGCTCATAGCTTACACCATAATTTTACAGATAAAGAACTCCGGGTTTCAATTTGATTGGCTGTCTAGTTATCACGTTGAAAGAGAAGCTCACCGGTGAACAGGAAGAAATGACAAGAAACCATGCCATCCCGTAGCTGGCTCAAATAATGCAAGTAGGACATACGTTCATGCCAGATGGTAATTAATTACAACGAGCTAACTCGCTTAATGATAATTGGGATCTTTTCCGCCCTATTCACCAAAAAGAAAGATGCGTGCATGGATATCATTTAAAGCGCCCAACAATAAACATTGTATTTAAAATGAGACTGTCGAAGAGAAAACAGAATGACGACGTTTAACACAATCTTTGGATACCCTTGAAAACTCACTTAAATTAACCTGATACAGCATTTTAGCAATATGTCATTCTGTCCCCCTTTTTTTATAGTTATTTATTTGTTAGCTGATTTATGATATGGGGATCTACCAATGCCAGATCCACGAGATCAAGGAAAAATTTTGCTAGAAAGGGTTAATTTAAGTTTGTCTTGATTAATGGCGGATGTCGCCTTGTCGTTAGAAACCAAGAAGTCTAAATGATACTAAGGAGATGTAATATGGGCATCATTTATATTATATCCATCCACTTTATCCAAGAAGAGTTTTGGGTCTATCAGAAAGCTTGCATTGCATGAATAACTGATTAATGATTTTACATGTAACTATCTTTTTATTAGGTTGAATGATTAGCCAAATAACATTTGTAAATACTATCTTTGAGCAAGGATATTATGTAAATCAAAATAAAATTAAAGTGTACCTTATTTTTTGGTACCTGAATAAAAGCAAATTTATCAACGATATGTGACACCTTTTTTTAAAAGATATTTGATATCTCTCTTTACTCAAGACACTGATTTAAAGTTGTCTGGATAATATACATGAGCAGGTGAATTATTTTAGAAAAGCATTCCATAAAAAAACAAGGAAAAAATTATGATAGGCCTAATGAGCAAAGAGCCAGTAAGAAAGAAGAACCAAGGTGATTAGCAGTTAAATAACACGTTCACCCATGACTATGTATGGCCCTTTTAAACAATACCTATATCTATTTATCTACCTTTAAAATTTTTAAGGGCACATGGTGGGCTCTATTGTTTATTAATGAACGGGAGATCAATGTTGCAAGAATAACACCCAAAATGTTTCTTTTTTTTTTAATAAAGCGCAATTATTAGGAGAATAATAGGGAAAGAAAAAAAAGGCTAAAAGATGCTTTTTCAGTTCCCCCAGGAACTCTTTCCAACTCGTTTCATGGTTATCATATACACTTGCTTTATAAGAGTCTTTATGATAATAGGATTCATAAAAATGACGGTTCATTTTGATAAAACAAGAATTTTTCAAATAATCAGCATTAAATAAGATCTACATCAGAAACCCTGAAGATACTAGATGCACGGGAGACAATGAGCAATTGATCTACCTCCTCACTCATTGTCATTTTATTCATTGATGATACGTTCTCCACTGTCCCCATTCATAAATATAGCGCTCATTTGCATGCCTATGTTTTTCATTTACTTATAAGAACGAGAATATTTAATCGATAATAGAAATTATAAGAATAGTAATAAAAAAAAACCTTACTTTTACCTTTTCCACATTTAAATGTCAAGTTATAAAATCCCTGTTATCAACGCCAAATTAATTTGTGATTCAAGGGGCCAGCCCGTTTTTATTGTGAAGGAAGATGAAGAATACGACGAGGAAAAAATGCTCTATTATCCACCCATGTCACGGTCTACTAATACAGAAGGTTTGGTGAATTCTGTCTGATCAAAACCAGTTTATCTATATGACAGAACATACTTGTACATTTAAAAAAAGTTTTACGAAATAATAATAAAATCATTCCATTTAGAACATATAAGGAATCAGTGCAATTGAGATTGTGTGCGTGTATGCGTTTGGATGTATTATTAAGTGTTTTAGCCTTGGTAAATAATGAAAGCCAAAAAAAATTATCGTTTGATTGTAATCATTACTTTTAATACACGCCAATGTCCTGCTTCATTGTAGTTTCCCAAAATGAAACATGCACGGTCGCCGATTCAAAATCCAGTTTGGGGTGAAAAAAGCCTTCTACTTTTTGTAAAAGTGTAACACTGAATATTACTGTCATGGTTTTTTATCCTAAAAAGGTGTAATGCATCCGCATATAAGAAAAACAAGTTTAAATTGATAGCCTTTTTTTTTTGTTTGTTTCTTTTTTTTTTATTTACTTATTTTTCTATCTCACTTACCTAGGATGAGTTTAGCCGAAGGAAAAAGCGAGGTATTTGAAATTCCAGATTTCACAGACCAAGCCGTGGTACGAGACAAACTACAGACGACGGTATGGCCCAATGAGTTGGAGCAAGACTATGGCTGGACTTTGGGTGCGCCGACATGGGCAGTGAAACCACTAGTTCAGAGCTGGGAAACATTTGATTGGTCTCGACCCCAACAAGAGATGAAGCGTTGGCATCACTATCGTATGAACGTGGATGGATTACTTGTACATTATGTTCACGAACCTTCTACCCAGGAAAAGGCAATTCCTATTGTCTTGCTCCATGGCTGGCCTTCAACCTTTTTCGAGTTCCACAAATTGATTGAGCCACTCCGAGATGGTACAGAGCAACCTTTTCATGTCGTCGTGCCTAGTTTACCAGGGTTTGGATTTTCCGAGGCTCCTAAAGTGAAAGGGTATGGTGTAGCCAAAATGGCGGGTATGATTAACCGTCTGATGCTCCATTTGGGTTACCATAAATACAGTAAGTTAGCGTAAATATTCCGGAGAAAAAAAACTCACCCAGAGATATTTAGTGTATCATGGTGGAGATTGGGGAGCGATTATAGGAAAATACATCGCGGTACATCATAATGATCATTGTAAAGCATTTCATACGACTCTGCCGTTTGTTCTACCTCCCTTCCCTACACCAAGAAATTTGTTAATGTATCCATGGAAAGTAGTCAAGTTTTTCACAAGTTTAGTGGTAGGGTTTGATAGGGTGTATGGTAGCGGTAAAACAGTTTTAGGAGGCGCTACATTTGCCAATGCAGAACGGAATGGGGATTGTGGGTACAGAGCGATTCAAGGCACCAAACCTTATACGCTTGCATTTGGGCTCAGCGACAGTCCCGTAGCACTTCTCTGTAAGTTTGATATGGCAAGGGAAAAAAAAAGAAAGAGTATTAATAGGATTATTTAGCGTGGATGTTGGAAAAGTATCATGATTGGACGTATCACCCCAAGGATCGCCAAGATACGGAAGGATTGCCACGTACGGTTACAGACGAAGAATTCTTGACACAAGTGACGATTTATTGGATGACGAATACAATGTCTTCGTCGATTCGATTGTATTACGAGTGTTTACAACAGAAGGAGATGATGAAGGTTGTGTTACCACGGATTCAGATACCTGTTGCAGTCTGTGCATTTGCTCATGACATTTCAAGAGTAATTATTTAAAGAGATTACAAATCATGAACTTAAATAGATTAACCCAATGACATTGCAATAGATGCCCAAGGATTGGCTGGAGACTTCGACTGATCTTCAGCAGTTCAGTGAAATGGAATCGGTATGTTTGTTTGCATATATTGCACGAGAAAGAAAAAAAACTCTAATTTTTTTTTATTATATAATTAGGGCGGGCACTTTCCGGGTTTAGAAGAACCAGAATTATTGTTGAATGATTTACAGCGGTTTGGTAAAAAGATTCGACAAAAGCAGATCTTGGCATAAAAAAGGGATCGTCCAAACATTCCGTGAGGAACACGGACTAAGACAAATTAAAAGGCAACCGTCCTTGTGTTGTACAAAGCGTGTTTGTGGGAAATAAAATGATGACATGGGCTTTAAGTAAAAAATAAAAAGCAGCCATGGAACTATTTAAATCAGTTGATTTTTATCTATGAAACACACCAATAAGGAAACGATTCAAAGACACGAGCTGAAAAATAGTCTATTGTGTGGAGAAGTTTTTTTTTTCTGCAAATCAAGGGGTGGCTGAAAAAAAAATGGCAGTGTATGATGCCATGTGCTCATTATGATTGAAACTGGAAAAACTCTAATCATTTTTTTTTTATTGTTACGGTTTAAAATTAACCGGGAATCAAACCGTGTGTGTTGCTTCTTCACAAAAAGTCACACATTTCGGGGAGGGGAGAAAACACTTAAACAGCGAAATTTAATTTTATATTCTTTTTTTCCTCTCTTTTTTCTTTTTTTTTTTTATATTTATTTAATTTCTTTCCCCCCCTCTCATTTTATAAATGGATAATCGAGACAGTTTTTATATGCGTGAACATCCACTGGGTTCTGGTAAAACCACAAAAAAAAAAAAAAAAAAAAAAAAAAACCAGGAAATTTGCCTCGGTATTTATACGAAAAAAATAAAATAGGTTATGCAATGGACCTTGGATTTATAGCTGATACCACCGTAAATGATTTTACTTAATTCTTTTTTAATTCGTTCATGTAAATTAATTTATACATCCACTCCCTCTTTTTCATTACCAGCCTGTCAAGTACGTTTTAGAACGCATCGCAGCCGAAAGAAAATGGACACCAGAAGCTATCGACAGTGATTGCGAGATTCTTGAAAGAAACCGTATCGTTCATGTAAAATACCCTTTACCTTTTAAAGCAAAGTGACTTTCTTTTAAACACCCTTTTTTTTTAATTTTTATAATTAGGTGCAAGACTTGAGAGCTTTATCAAGAGAAAGTTGGGCTGTAAGTTTTCTATAAATATAAATTTTGTCATCCCATTTTATATTTATTATTTATATTTAGCAAATCGAATTACTTCCGCTCGTCAAAGATCTTTTGCGTGGTGCTATTGATCCCGAGTGGAACACAGGTAATAATAGAAACATCCCATTTTAGAATGATCTATTGATACTTTTTTTTATATAAAAAAGCACCCAAACCTGTAGCCAGTAACAGCAGCAGTGGTAGCAGCAGTACCGAAGAAGGCGAGAAAAAGAAGGACAAAAAGGAAAAGAAAAAGGATAAGAAAGAGGATGAAGGCAAGAAGAAGAAGGAGGATGAAAAGAAAAAGGACAAGAAGGAGGATGACAAGAAAAAGAAGGACGATGATAAGAAAAAGAAGGAAGATGAGAGCAAGAAGAAGGACAAAAAGAAGGACAAGAAGAAGGACAAGGGATTCAAAAGCCCTTCACCACTGGGAACACCTGTTGTACCAACTGTTCTTCATCGACCTCAGATTGATACGAGTCCAGCCCTGAGTAATGAATCCATGATGAGTCAAGATCGAATCACGATGCAGAATACGATACGTAACGGAAATATCGAGGTCACGCCTGCTTTGCCCACCATCAATACAACTGCAGCCTTAAACTCTTCATCATCGAGCAATAGTAGTAGTGAAGAAGATTATGAATTAATGTCGCCTTCTCGTCGAAAGAGTGTTACTTTTGCAAACGAAACAGCCATCGGTATTGCTGCCAGTGAAAAATCTACAGAAGATAAAAAAAAGAAGAAGGATAAAAAGAATAAGAAAGAGAATATGGCAAGTATAAACAAGAGTGCCACCAATTTTACAAGTCATCCTTATACCACTCATCCTGTAGTAAAATTCAGAAAAATGAAAATGAAGCATTGTAAAAGATTACCGGAAGTTCCAAAAGATGATCTTTTCTTGCAACGAATTCATGATCGTTTGAAACTTTCTACAGATTAATTTTTAATTTTTTTTTTTGCAATCATATCTACCCATATATACTCTCTTTTTTTCATATTTATAATATACTTTTTTTTTCCCCCGTGTGTTTACAAAGAAAAATCATAGGGTAAAAACTTGGAGCAGGTTTCCTTTAACACAATAAAAAGATTGAATTTGAAGAAATGATTTGACCAAACAAAGGTTTTTTTATCCAAGCAATCATCATGCAATGAGTGCTGGATAAAATTCTGTAAGTGTTCGACAGTTGTATCTTAACTACTACATTAAGAAAAAAAAAAAGGTTCTTCAAACATCGGCCTTTGAACCTAAACACGAGGTTAATTACTTCAATTTCCTGCATTAAACCTTTTTTTCTTTCATTTTCTAAACTAATGGAGCCATTGACAACTAATGTAAAGTTGAACGTAATTTCTTGAAAAATTTCTCTACTAATAAGCTTTTCATGAAGACCTTCTTGACAAACTCACCTCACCTTTCAAAAGAAGATAATATTGGATGTGGTATTAGTATATCTGATTTAAAAAAAAAAAAAAAAAACTCCGGTTATTTTGTCTTGCATTAAATCTTTTTTTTTCTCATTTGTTCAGTTTCGTTGAAAGACTTGATTAATCATGCAAGTTAAAATACTTTTATTTGTACTCCCCCTTAATTAATCTGTATTACAGCATGATTTAGAATCGATGGTTCAATTCAACTTTTTGGTAGATGTAGGCTATTTATTATCCAACATGTATGATCCATCCATACCTGTCACCATCGTTCACGGGCAAAAAAACAATTTGAATGTAAACTTTGTTGACCTTCTTTTAAGGAAATTTCAATGATTCACCCTTCCTTTTTAACAGGTCTATTCTAATGTTCAGTTGTATACACCAGAGATACCAGATAGATACGGTAGGGAAAATTTATACTGCAGTGAGATAACTTCTTATTGAAACATGATGTATAATAGGTGTACATCATACCAAAGTAATAACTGTATCACACATCCATAAGAAGAAATAATAATCTCATGTGGTTATCATAGGCCATGCTCTTATTCTTTTGTGAAAAAATTACAGGTATCAAATCAGTTCAATTGGTTATTATGACGGCAAACATGATTGAACAGGATTGGGAGTACATATCTAAAACTACCTCCATATACTCGAACACACACATGCTAATAAAAAAAAACATTTTTTGATCAATCTCATGTAGAGACATGACACAAGGTGTTTACAGAACCCCACGATGTCCGTTAAAACCCACCGCCACCACCAATGAATCACCCTTTGAGCAAGACCTGATAAAATATCTGCGTGCATATAAGCTTCGTTCCGTTTATGAAGCCATTGCCAAGTTACGCAAATATGACTTTTCCTCATGCAAAGGCATCCTAATTGGATCCGTGCCTGGATACCACCGTCAATCCGCCTCCGTGTTCCGTGATTGGGGTATTGAACGTTTAGCCACTGTCCTTCGACAGCATGTACCTTCCTCATCCTTTCATTCGGAACTTATCTTGCAATGCTCCAGTCTCGCTTCTTCGCCTCAGAAATGGTTTCTCGAGCTATGTGAGAGTATGTCGCAAACAAAGACCAATACGGGTGTAGCACCTACAATCAAGGTAGTGTATCCTACAATGGACACGGCTAGCAAAAGTTTTACGGGAAGAGAGAGAAGTGGTGATTTCCTAAGGTTTGAAAGAGGGAGCTATGAAAAGAACCATGTGTGGTTTGACAAGTACTTGTGTGATTGGCAGAGTAACGATGCGGGAAGACAGCGATTGATGCCGCATATCAAAACGTATACTCGCATTGAGAGAGGTACGGATGGTACAACAGTGATTGCGTGGCATCTATTGACATCGGCGAATCTAAGTCGAGCAGCGTGGGGTGAGTATCAAAAGAACAAGACACAGATTTACGTCAAGAGCTTTGAATTGGGCGTCTTGTTCTGTCCGAGTCTATGGGTAAAAAAAAAAGATTGTTTTTTTTTTTTTGTATGGAAGACTAAAAAAATCATGGTGTGTATTTAGAAAAACGAGGTGGTATTGAAGCCTGCTAAAAAGATGAAACAACATGTACACAACAATGATAATATAATTGAAGTTCGTCTTCCTTATGATCTTCCACTCGTACCTCATCCCAGACCAATGTCATGTTTTACTCGATTACCGTCATAAAAATAAACGCTTTTATTTCTTATTCTTCTTTTTACCGGCACGTTCTGATAAATACATGGACAAGAAATCACCTTGATTTCCAATCTTCTTTTTATTAGCAGCCTGTGGTGGCGGTGTTGGTACCACTGTTGCTGCGGCTGCGGTTGTTGATGCTGTTTTTGTCTTTTTATTGTTGTGTTTCTTTTTATTCTGTTTGGTGGTGCCAACTGTAGTTGACCGTGACTCTTCCTCATTGTCCGATTCACTTTCGTCGACATCTTGAGGACGAAATCGTTTACCGATGGGTGTATTAACAAGTTCATGACCACTGACAGCTCGTCTGTTTCCATTCAAAATTTTGTTCTTGAGTTGTAAAGCTTCTTTCGAAGCCATACCGTTTTGTGAGGTGTGTCGCATGGCTTCATTATGTGACAAAAATTTAGCACCAAGACCTAGTCTATTCTTTCATCACTTTAGATAAAGAGTCATATATATGTGTTTGCAATTTTTCTTTTTCTTTTTACCTGTCAGGTCTGCCTGTGGAATATTTCAACAATGTCGAATCCTGTTCATCGTCTGATTCTTCTCCAGGTTTGGCAGCAGGAAGCCAAGAATGAATCAAGGATCGTGCAATGCCAATGGATGCATCAATTTGGGTCTTTATCTTTTCGTTTTCATCAGTGTTGATCTTTGCTTGCTCAGACATCTTTTTTTAAAAAAAAATTATATGGAAGAAAAAATAAAATAATATCGGGATCGTTTTCAAAGGCGTATTAGACAGTCCCTTCCTGACATTCATATTTTTTTTCCCCATAGTTTCTAGGGAAAAGCAAATTCAATGAATATACAATGCATACAGAGTTTTTTTTTTCTATAGCAGTGCAAACATCGCCATACACCAAGGGTGGGTTATGCGTGTAAACATTCTGGCGAATTACAAACATTCACAGAAACGATTTTTATTTTTTCAAGAGGTTTGCATGATGTTGGATATGATCGGCAATAAAAGTAGAAATAAAAAAGTAGCTGTGATCATAACCTTCTTGACGACGAATCGTGAATTCAGTCTCGCGACCCAACTGCTTAACTGTCTCTTCTAATTGATCGATCAGTAATTCCTTGGCCAAGAAATTATCAGCGGTTCCCTACATAACAATAGACATAAAATTAAATCATCTTCTTTCAGCATTCGTTTCCCAAAACTTACAACGTCTACAAGAATGTCTAACTTTTGGTTCAAGTGAGACTTCAACAATTCTACTGTATCGTAAGCCTTCCATGTCTCTTTGTCAGATCCCAAGTAATTCGAAAGAGCCTTTTGACCCCAAGGACAGTTGCTGGGATTTGCAATAGGCGAGAAAGCAGAGGCTGTTTTGAATTGAGAAGGATTCTTGATATAAATCGTCAAAGCACCATGACCTCCCATCGAATGTCCCATCACTGAAACACGTTCTTCATCCTACATTTTACGTTTTTAGGAAAAAAAAAATTGTACATATCCATTCTATATGCATATACGTACAATGGGCAATTGTTGCATTACAAGAGCATGTAACTCCTTGACAATATAAGAATACATGCGATAATGTTTGGCCCATTTTTCTTCTGTAGCATCTACATAGAAACCTGCACCCGTACCGAAATCCCAAGAGTCACTATCGCCTTCAATACTGACACCACCTACACACATTGTATGAGAATAAGTATACATAATATATATATATATAAGTAGAGAGAGGGAGCTTACGTGGAGAGGTATCGGGAGCAATGAGTGCAATACCATGCTTGGAGGCTTCAGCCATAGCGCCACTCTTTTGGATAAAGTTGTCTTCGGTACATGTCAAACCTGACAAGAAGAAGATGGCGGGCACTTTTTGTGTGGTGGATTCTTTGGGTAAGAACACATTGAACTTCATGTCACAGCCAAGTTCTTCTGAATGGTGTTCATATTTCACAACATGACCACCAAAGCACTTGTTTTTTGACACTTGCGTAATAAGCATTTTTTTTTTATGTAGATAATAAAACAATAAACAAAAAGTATATAGATCCGGTGGGTAATTTTTATATGTTTGTAAAAAATACAGCAAAAAAAAAAAAAGGTCACGGAACGCGCTATCTAGTTTTTAGATGGAAGTGTATTCACGAGCAAACTTTGACATTCTTCTTGTGAAGCCCTTAATTTCTCTTGCTGTTCTTTTATCTTGAGCATGGTCAATTTGTATATCCACACGCCCGACAAAATCAAGACCACAACACCAAAGGACATATACATGAGAGTAACTCGATGTGTCTCGGGAGGTAAATCGGGATCTGATAAATTAGCCAATTGGGAGCCTACCCAAATATCCAAATTAAATTTAAAACATGCAATGAATGCCGAAATGACATAACTTCTCCATGTTACGGTGGGGACCAGAGATAGAATTAAGTTGGTCAGTTGCCATGGTAACGGACAGATGCGAATAAGTAAAATCATTTTGAATCCGCCCTGCGTAATCGCATCTTGCATAGCTTGATACATATCTTGTCGTTTCTCTGACAACTTTATCCATCGGGCACAATCGAGTTTCCTAATTAATCTTTTTATGGGAAAAAAAAAATGTTGTTAATCATCATCCATCAGGTGCTTTTTTTTAGTGCGATTGTCAATAATTTTTTTTTTACCCGCAAGTGAGAATGGCACTTAGAAAGGCACCCAATGTGGCAGGAAGACAACCATAGGGAAATCCATAGATGAATCCTGTCATGGTGACAGCAAATGTGAAGCCTAAGATGGGTGGTATACCTGTTACAGTGACCAGTGTAGCCATCAATACAGGACTATACTTTTGCTTTCTCATATGAATAGCGACATCCTGAATGGCTTTATATTTTATATATTATGAGGCCCTTCTTTTTTTTTTCATCGATTATAAGAAAAATCACTCTCTCCCTATATGCAATTTTGTTTTTTTTATACCTCCGATAATATCTGACTTGTAGTGGCCAAAGAGGGTAAGTAGGTACGCACCTACAGTCAATGCCACTATACCGAGTAAAAGATACTTTCTCTGTATAAACATTTGGAAATGAAAAGTAAAAGAAAATAAAAAGAAGGACAAAAAAGTTGCATCAATGACAATTAAAATATATATAATAATAAAAAACGTGACGTCATTGAATCGAATAAAAAAAAGGTTTTTTTTTTTTTTTGATTGTCTGCGTGCTTTTTCTTTTTTTTTTCTGTTTTTTTCTCTACGCGTGAAAGAAGTGATGCAACCAATGATATCAAGCGATGAAACCAAAGTCCTGAATGGAAAACACATGAAGGAAGAAGAGGAAAAAGTTGTTTTACCAGTGGAAATGGCATGCATGGTGCCACTTCGAGCATTGATTGGAAAGCTTGTTCATAAATCACATGCCGATTTAATGACCTTGGTCGATACGTAAGGGCCCGCTTCATTGTTATTATTTTTTTTCAATTTTTTTTTTTTCCTTCTGTTCAATCATGGATTCATCTCTTCTTTCTTTCTAAATAGGTTACCTTCCATGTCTGATGTGGAAAAGAAACGTCAGATATTGACTTACACGACATTTATGAGGAAACAGTATTTGAAATTACTCGTGCTTGTCAAGTGGGCTGAAAGTGCAAAAGATATTCAAATGTGTCAGGTGTGTGGAGAATTGATGTTTTTGCTGTTCTAAATAGACTAATAATTTTTTTTTTTTTTTTTTTGATGAATAGAATATCATGGCTTATTTAGCTAACCAAAACAAGATTTTCCAAGATACCGTGGATTACCTTCATAAAATACAGTCAGGGCTGCCGGCAGCTAGATTACGAAACTTTGATATACCGACAGCTGTAGACGTATTGACCACAGGCACATATCAGCAAATGCCTACCAAAATAAAGGTAAGAAAAGAAATGTCCATTTTATCTGTCGTCTAAAATACTCTTTTCCATTCCTTCCACCCAGGACATGCTCACACCTACACCATTGACCGACGCAGAAGTTTTAGAGACCTTTCAAAATATGAACGATGTCATTCGAATGCGTATGATCACCACAGAAGTATTACCCTCACCTATGCAAAAATATAGAATTGGTAACATTATATCCGGATGAGAGAGAGAGAGAGAGAGAGAAAACTAGACATTTATCACTTGTATATTTAGAAAACGGTCGAATTTACTTTACAATTGAAAACGAATTTGAAGTAGCCTTGACTTTAATGGGTCATAGTAATGATAGACGATGGTGGATTGTTTCTCTCGATATGTTTGTACAAGCTACGTCTGCTGGAGGAGCTGCTGGTAAATCAAAGACGTCCATCTATCAATGGTTTATTGTTTACTTATTTTTTTAATTTAATCAATCACAGAGGATGTGGATATAACAATGACGGATATGCAAAAACAACATTTACGTGTCAATGCACAAAAACAACTTGTGCCACCACCACCATCTCCTGCCGCTGCCGCCGCCGCTGCTGCTGCTGCTGCTACCACCACGACCACGACTACCTCCACGACTACCGCTGTGACCGCCACTACAACCAACGAAAGTGAGAAAAAGCCCTTGTTTTTCCCACTTGTGAATCTCTACGATTTCTTACACTTGTGTTGTCTCAACATGCAACTCGAGATTTTATTTATCCAATCTGCCATGTTAGTCAAGACACGTTGGATGAACCAACTCAAAGTCCAGATGAACCCAGACCGTACCAAACTGACCTTGACCTATTGGCGAGGCGGTTCTGCCGCGTCCCATTGGGCACGACCTCAATCGAAATCCGAAGCACATAAAAGTACGGTACTTGAGATCTCCGTCAGTAATGAACATGAAAAGCAATTGTCCAAGAATAATATGTCCATCACTGTACGCGATGAATTGAAAGGGTTGACACAAAAGGCAGGTATTGGTGCTTCCGTTGCACTTTCCAACTTGACCGCTTCCGAAAAACCAAAAGTACTTTCTTCATTGAAATACCCTAAAAATTCGTTGGAGGTGCTTTGGGATGAATGTGAAGATCTCCATTCTGATACCAAACTCTTGGTAAGTTTTTTGTTATATATGTATGTGAGTTGGGGAATCCGTCGTTGTTTTTTTAACCGTTATGTATAAACAAAAAAAAAAAAAAAAAAAAAAAATAGGATCCTTCGGATTTAAATGCGGAACAACTTGTTTTACATGTCACGAATTATCACGGGGCGTGTATCATTGAAAAATTTAAAGAAGCATTGGTATCACAAAAGGATTTTCTGGAAGAAAATGGATTGCATTTGGCAGACGACGATGGAAAAGACGGCTCTCAGGCGACATTACATGGTAAGGATAGAGAAAGCGTGTGTGTGTGCGAATGAAAGGGGACTAATATTTACCATCACCCAGATTCTCTCATACAAACACCGCCAACACTTGTCGTGCGTTATAGACATCAACGATTCGTCAGCATTGAAACAGATACACGTACTGGTAAAGTAAAGGTATTTGAAGCCAGTGATGGATGCAGTGAAGGAGATGGTAAGGAACAAAGAGATAAATAGGAAGATTGATATATATGTATTAATCAAGAATACTACGGTAGTCAAATTAAGAGGATTGGAAGATCGATTAAACAATGACCCAGCCAATATTGCACACCACTTATTATGGCTTCGATCTGAAGTTGTTGTGCGTGAAGTGATATCACTTGCCAAACAATTAAACCTGCAACCTTACCATCCATCGCACATGAATTTACGACAGGAGGATCTAACACGATTGTTTGGAGACATCATTCCCAAAGACAAACCCACACAAAAGTACCCTTCACACTGTGTCTTCTTTCAATTCTCACAGTTTGAAGATTGGTATTTCGTGATCGCCACCGTCAAGAACGAGTTTAAATCTTGGCTTTGTTGTATCAATCAAAAGTTTGACCAGAATGGCATCTTTCAAGAAATTGTGGATTTAACCTATCTCGATTGTGGGCAGTTATGGAGAGACCAGTTTATTGGAAAACCTTCGCATGAAATCTCAGATGAAGGAAGAGTTTCAACCAAAAGACAGTTTGAGGAGATGGCAGATGAGCTCACTGTTGTCGAGACAAAACCTATTGATATGAAAAAGAGAAGAGTGTCGACCATCTTAGAGGGAGCATCCTCCTCTTTTACAAATTCCATTGACAAGTAAAGTGTGAATTTTCATTTTATTTAATCCAATTATGTTGAACTAATTCCCCTATTGTTTGTGCTACATAGCCTATCCATTGATTTACGATATTTAGCAAAATTGGATTCACTTTGCAGAGCATACATCACCAATCGAAAGATTGAACTTCAATTACAATCATACAAAGGAACACTCAATTACCACATGAGACCTCTATTAGAGACGTTATCCGTGATGGAATCACAAATCATGAACCATCCTGCTGCGGACAAGATGGAAGTGGTGTGTGTTTCCCAAAAGGATCTATTAAGAGCATGTACGTATTATTACAGTGAAGAAGGAGGAGCTAAACGAGAAAAGCCATCGGAACCCATTGATTGGATCGAAAAGGTGTTACCGCAAATGAATCATCAGGTGCTGATCCGATCTTCTGGGTGGTGGGATTGTGGACGAGGCGAATGTTATGTGGTTGTGCAAGACAAGTTAAATTGGAAACAAATCGATTTACAAGGAAATGAATTTGGGGATCATATTTCGTTAGACAAGGCGACGGATGTGGTGTCTTTTACGTATCCTACCATTGACAGTTGTATTGATCATTTCTTGATGGATTGGGAAAGGATGTTTATGATGGTCAATATCAGCCGACAGGCTTCTTCGGTTTGGTTTAAAAAATACAAGGATCAGTTGGAATTTAGTCCTACCGATTTGCAGGAATTGTCGTTTGCGTATGCTAAAGATTTTACTTGTCGGATCAAATGGGTGGCACCAGGTCAGTCAAGACCGAGACAGTATACCATCGAGTTGGGCGTGACGGATGAGTCGAACAAGGCCAAATTAACTTCTCTACCCACACTTCATTCGAGAAATCCTCATTGGAGAATTGCAAACTTTTTGCGTGATGTGCTGAACGAAAAGAGAGACTTGATTTACTTTGTGCAGGTAGGATAATACATATTTTTCATGTTTAAAAAATGCGTAAACTAAACACATAAATATAGATCTTGTTTCAAACATTACCCTTGATGGCATGTCTTGAACGTCTTGAGGTGGAGTGTGCTCAAGAAGGAGATATTGGCAAAGTATCGATTATACCACGCGCTTATGATTCAGTGCGCATCATCTTTTCTGCCATGTAAAGTTTTGTTTTTTTACCCGTGTTTTAGGAAATAGGGAACTGACATTCATCTTTATGTAGACATGCAATTGATATACGATTTACAGATAGAGAATCCATCTGTGTTTCGGACGCAGCATACCATCATTTATTCTACTCGACACGTAAGGATACTTTTACATCCCCTCAACCTTACACTGTGCCAACACCTGTGCAAGCGGGTAGCATGAAACCCATCGCGGTAGCCCAACAATTGAAATTCACACCCTTTGAACAATTCGCCAGTCTATTGTCGACTTTGGAAAGTTGGATCTTTGATAACAGTGATATTGTAAAGAAAGAACCAAGTGCTGTTTCATTACAACATGGTTTGTTATGTTCTGCGTCTCTATGTCAACACGTATTGCAAAAATTACAAACCATGGTGTAAAGTTCGTTTCTTTTTTCTTTTTTCTTTTCTTTTCTTTTTTTTGAATTTTTTTTTTTTTTTTTTTTTTTTGCGTTTTTAAGTGTAAAAATAAAAAAAAAAGTTATGAAATGTGCTTTTCTTTCCGTTTTCTTTAGTACCTACTAACTTTGCTTAATTACATACTATACCTTTCAGTTTCCTTTAGTGCTAGTTTTAGCTATGTGATACTTTGATTATCCTATTTAGAAGGAGCATGTAATCTTTTTCTTTGTAGCCAGACAGTACGCTACAATTTTTTATTTTTATTTTTAATCTAATTAATCTCTGTCGGGTCCCAACAAAAGCGATGAGGCTCTGTTTGATAGACATTATCCAACAGTTCCATATCCTATATATTCAAATTAAATATCTAGCTTTTTGAATAATCATGTTTCCCTTACCTGTTGCGAAAGCTCAAAAGAATCCGCTTTTGCGTTTTCTTTAATTCTGGCTGTAGTTTTTGATTTAGGTATGATGGCCCATCCGTGTTGAATAGCCCAATGTAAAAGTACTAATGCAGAGGATACTCCCAACCTGTCTGCGATCTTTTGCAAACCAGGAATCTCGACCTCTCCATTGATCAAGTTACCTTCACCTAAACTAGAGTAGGCTTGCACTTGAATCTGATGTTGTTGACAGATATGAAGTACCTTGGGCTGATAAAGACAAGGATGTAATTCAAATTGATGTACTTGAGGAACCACAGTACAGACCTCGAGCAAATGCTCTAGGTGTTCCGGTGTATAATTGGATACACCAATATTTTTCAATTTGCCTTCCTTGTAAAGTTGTTCCAAGGCCTTGTAACTACCCGTACGGTTTTCTCTGTTGATGGGATCGTTCAACTTCTTTTTGGAGGTACTATTTTATTAAAAGTGAGTTGACCCTGCATGATTTATTTTTTTTTTAAGATGGAGTGTTACCCAGGCCAATGAATTAGATATAGATCGAGATAATCCAGTTTAAATCTTGTTAAGGAATCGTTGACAGCTAAAAACAAAGCATGATTGGCAAGATCCTCTAGGGATGAAAAGACAAAAACACATACATACCTTTATAACAAGAGTCAAAGCCTTGGTCTTGAGGGGCTACATAAAGAGTTATGAATAATCTGACGAACGAGATGGTTAGGTTGTCCTTACATAATTTAGACGTAATAAAAAGATCCTCGCGCTTAACGCCAAAAGATGGATCTGCAAAAATCTCTCCTAGAATCTCTCCTAAAACGTCTTCGTTTCTATAAACAGTGGCAGAATCTTTTTTTTTTTTTTTTTTTAAAGGTAAAAAAAAATACACGTTAATTATGAGAAAAATGTTACGCTTTTAAGTTTTACCAATAAGTCGATATCCAGAGCGAATCGCTTCTCTTACAACGGGTCTTAGTTCCTCCATGGTCTTCATTCTATACGTTCCCACTGCATTACTTGTCAGAACACGAGTTGACATTGCTCTACATGAACTTACATCCAATCACGGGTATGGTGTTCCCATTATTCAGCTGAAATGGTGTCATGTTGTCGAGAAAAGCCTAGTTCATTGTTTCATTGAGTTCTATAGTTACGAATTCCCCGCCAAGTGGGGGGTGGGGTGGGGGACAAGTCACTCTCCCCCGGAATTTTAAAAATTCATGCAAAAAACTACCTTTTTAAAATTTTAGCTGCCAAATATATTCTATTTTTTTCCACAAAATGAAGTTTTGGAAGAAAAAAGACAAGAGCAAGTCAACAAACCCTTTTGACGATGAAGACTCTACAAGTTTTAGTACCGAATATTCTCAGACTCCCACGGCTGTATCTGAACCAGTCAAGGAGCGTTACCAAGCACCACCCAAGCCGTCAACGGATAACTCGCGAGACCGTCAATATTTGTTTGCAGGTCATCAAGATCCCACCAACCGTTTCGATAGCAATGGTCAGGAAGACGCTTATCGTACCAGTAGGTTGAACGAAGGAGAAGAGGATCAAGAGATTCAACAAATTCAGCGACAGATTCGCAATGTCAAGCAAGACTCATTGGCAAGTACTCGGAACGCTTTACAAAAGATTGGTGAGGCCGAAGCAGCTGCTGCCAACACCATGAACATGCTAGGAACTCAATCAAGTAAGTATGCTCTGTACACAGCTCTCTCTCTCTCTATTTTTTTTTCTTTGTAGGTCCTAAAAATAAATTTCCTTTAGGTCAAATTGCTAATGTGGATCGTAGTTTGGATCTATCCAAAGCATATGGTGATAAAGCCTCATCGCAAGCGAGCGAACTCAAACAATTGAATCGGTCCATCTTTATCCCAGTGATTAAGAACCCGTTTAATAAAGGATCTCGAGAACGACGAGAGATGGAAAAGGTGCAACGAAATCATCAAGAGCATATGGAAGAACGAGACAATATCCGCAGCTTTGAATACAAGTCAAGTGCACGTATTGCTGAGGCACATCGAAAAACAAACACGGAGGAAAAGGAAAGCTTTCATCGAGGTCGCTCACAAGCAGATCGGAATCGATATCAATTTGAGCCGGATGAAGAAGATGATGCGGTGGAAGATGAGCTGGATACAAATTTGGACTTGTTAGGGGATGCCACCTCAAGGTTACGTACCATGGCTACTTCCATGAATGAAGAATTGACAAGTCAAAATCAACAATTAGACAAGGTGACCAAGAAAGTCGATCCCATTAGCGCCAAATTGGTTTCTGTCACCCATACATTAGACTCAACACGATAATAATAATAAAAAAACTTTTTTTTTTAAAATGTACTATTTTTCTTTCTTTTTAATAAATCTTTTCTTTTACTGTTTATGTATAATATGGACCCCCCAAAAAAAATTGTAAATTATTCTTTATCTTCTTCCATATAATCAGGGTTCTTTCTTAAAAGTACAATGCCTTCCAAAACAGGTGCCAAAGGTATGTCTATGAGGGAAGAAAAATCAGTATTCAGGAAACACTTATCAATAAAAAAAAGTGACTTACATTCTTCAGTTGCAAGTTCAGCACGCTCTGAGTGAGCAAGAAGCACAGGTGTGGAATGTGTTTGGAAACCAGTGATGGTCTTTGGTCGACCAGCTTGTCCAACAACATCAACAGCTTGACCCACACGAACAGTAGCGGGTAGGCTCTCGACATTTTCATCAAATGTGATCAAGAAACGAGGATACATTGCAGTCACAAGTGAATACAATAAGTAATGGTACTTACCAAAAATGACTATGATGAAAACAGCAGGGTAAGTTTGTGTTGCATATAAACAAAGGTGATATACTTACAAGCTTTATGGTCAGTGAAGGCAATAATACTGGTCATTAAACCAGCAATAGCAACAGGGGACATGATTTGACGATCGGTATGGAAAGGATTTAATGTCATCGTACCCTTAGCCATGTGTAAAAGACCTTGAGCAATACGGACCATAAACAGACTGGATGCTTCCTTATGATAGAAACTGGCAAGTTGTCTCAACATTTGTGCGAGACGAGCATTGTTAGTACCAGCACCTACAAGACCCATAGCAAAAATAGCACTAATGGCAACTTCACTATCATTGTCGTGAGAGTATTTACTGAGTGTATCAAGGATAGAGACTTGGGGGTTGGATGCACATAAAAGACCATATGCCAATGGAACTGTCTTTCTAATCACGGGCTCACCATAATGCATCTATTGTCATGTTAGTAACCAGCCCCTCCTAATTAAATAAATAAATAAAAAAAACTTTACCAAATGGTTGAATGTACGCAAAGACATTTCAGAACCAACTTCTTCGCCCATGGCAATCAAGGCAACACCAAGAGTAGCAAAACCTTGGAATGTATCATCCTCCTTATCCTTATCCAAATGATCATTACACATATGAAGCATCTTTTGAACCTTCAAAACGTTTCCGGTACCAGCGTAAGATAATGCCTCGACCAAAACCTCGGCTTCCTTACCAAGAGGATGTTCAATAGCCTTTAAAGTTTCCAAAGTGGCTTCAGAAGCATCCTGCTTACCAAGGTACAAAAGACCAAGACCCAGGGCCATGAAACGAGACCAGGTATCCTTGAGTTCTACATCCTCACGCTCCATCATGGTTTGTAAAATGGTACTGGTAATATCTCCATCACAAGATCCGACAAAGACTAAACCAAGAGCCAAAGCAGCTAATGAAGAAAGCTCCATGGCCAAGTTGGTGTCACTGACAATAGGCAAAAGCAACTCTGAAACTTCTTCACGGGCAGAACCAGCATAAGCGAGACCGAGACTAAAAATTCACCCATTCTATTTTTTTAATACCGTGAATTTTCCTTTCTTTTTATCACAACTTACCCAAAGATAGCAGATTGCTTGACAGCAAGGCTACCGGTTTCTAAATGCTCGGATAACAAGGCCAAAGCGGGATCTGATTCTTCACGTACACCGGAATTCAAAATACCGATACCGAGCAAAGCACCTGCCTTGATATGATCATCGGTAGAATACATATACTTATCAATCAAACTTAAACCAGTTTCGATATCCCAAAGACAAATAAGACCTAAAGAAGCAGTAGCACTTGTCATGCCATGCTCCTTGGTCTTGTAGATCCAAGAGGAATCATTTTCATCCTCAGTCACCATCAACTTATCCTTACAAAAAGCGGCATTGACAAATGCATTGACAAAGGTAGAAGACAAGTTGTTACGAGCGGAATCAATATTGCTGCTGAAAGCAGTGCGATGGTTTTCCAAATGACTCTTGTAAATATCCTCGGGGACCTTGGGTTCCATCACATCTAATTCACGGGCAAGTGCAAGGAAATAACGCGAGAGGTTGGTGTTGTTAATACATCCATTTAAATCAGCATCCTCGGTTTCAATGTGAATTTGTTGACGAGCAAGTTGGAATGCCATTTGCTTCTTGAGAGATCTAAAATCAACATTTTTTTTTTTTTTTTGAGTTGGCTATGGGAACTATATAAATATAATATATTAAGGATGAATTGCTTACGGATCAGGGCATTGTTCGAAATCTTCCTTGATCAATTCCATATCACCAACACGAATAGACAAGTTGAGTGCTTGCGCATATTTTCCTTGTTGACGGTAAATGGCACGAGCAGTCTTGAGGAAATCAAGATCATCAGGGGGAGCCAATAAATTGACACAACTAAAAGATATACATATATATATATATTTAGCTTGCTTTCACTTTATATAGATGTTGTCCTTACCCAGCCATATAAAGACAGACACGCTCATAGGTATCCTTGTCGACAAAACGAGAAAGTTGATCAATAGATTCGACTTCCAATAAGAGATCAACGGCATCTGCTTCAGCGTTGTGCTTGAGGAAAAAGGGGACGATTTCCAAAGCTAAACGGATTAACTCTTCTGTGGATTGATCGCTTTCTAAACGTGATTGATATTCTTGCATAATTTCGCCTGACAAATGACGAACGTATTCATGACCCCAAGAACCGATTTCCTCTTCAGTGGAGCCTAAGAATCTATATCTCAAAGTCTCACATTGACCTTCCTCGGCATATGACATTGACAGTACAGATAAGATATCGGCAAAAAGCTTCTTATCAGGAGAATCGGGCCAAGACTCATGAAGTTTCTTTAATAAACTGTAGTATTTACTCAAGAACTTCAAGGGTTTAGGAACAGATGTCATGGAGCTGGTGGATGTACGGATGGCTGTACGTAAATGTTCAAGTGCAGGACGATGAAGTTCCTTCTTGTCATCCTGTAAGTCGTGTTAACAAATAATAACACTTCCTTCTTTTCAAATGCTGTGTACCTGCAAACGCTCCACCATCAATTCTAATTCGCTCTTTAATTGTTGATCTTCCTCAGACTACAATGCAAAAAAGTCAATTACAAGTTCAGAAGGCATAACCTTCTCTTATTATTACCAAATCTTCCTCTTCTTCTTTCTTTTCATTTTTGTCCTTTTTATCTTTGGGGGACTTTTCCTCGACCTTGGGTTCGACTTGAGTGGGTTTTTCTTCCTTCTTTTCGTTGACCATCGTTAAATTTTATATATTGGAGTATAGTTTAAAAAAAAAAAAAGAAAAAGGTAGTTGGCTTCGCGTTTTTTTTATGTAAATTTTTTTGTAATATGTACGCGCAATGCCTTCCCTCTATTTCCCAAAAAGCATGACGTCAGAAAAAACATGACGTCGCGAAATTTTTGAAAACCTGTTTTAAAAAAAGCAGAGGGTTTTGCTTTTTGTTCTTTTGAACTTTTAGAGACGACGATTAACTGTCCAGCAACTTTGGAATGAAAGATGGGAAATAGGGGGGAAGACTAATTTTTAGTTTCAAATTAATTGTTAAAAGCAGCTGTTTGCTCGATTTGAGCTTCAGTCAAAGTTGAATGTTGCCGTTTGGAGTTATGGATTGAAGAAGGCAGATTGCACAAGGCTGCGAAATAATTAGTTTGAAACGATTAGAAGAGCTTGTTTACCTTCACATGTAGTAAGCTTGGGTTGTCAGGCATACGTTTGTCCAGTGAAGGACCTACTTACTCTATGAGCCTTTCAGATTCTCAACCAAAGACACACTTAATTATTAAGATTTTTGGATTCTCTGTTTTATTGATAGATAAATTACAATTAAACTGCAACACAGTCATTATGACAAATAGGATGTTTGAAAAAAAACAATGTGGCACCTTATCTTTGCAATTCTATACTACAGTCATAAGATAAATACGTCCATAACTTTCGTTTTGTGATAAATATGTATTGCGTGCTGCAGCCGAAGATTTTTCCGTGCCGAGGGCAACCTTTGTTCCGTTATTGAGCTTTTTTATAAAAATCACCCAACAAAGAGGACTATGCGGTTCATATGGTTAAACGATGACCAAATCATAGTTCTTTTACGTCAAAGACAAGTTCAAAATACACTGCATTTTATCTGATAGTAAGATCAGTGCAATCAATCCATTTATTCATTCTAAACGTATGACTTAACCTCGCTCTGTTATTTGATTCATCCTAACACTCCCATATTTTGATAGCAGCAGGTGATTAATCATCTGCACTATGAAAGCATTACATGTTGAATCAAGGAATCACAAGGATAACGAGAAATTTAAATCATATTTCCCCCCTCTCTCTCTCTCTCAGCTTTTCATTGTGAAAAGAATAAATATTCACTCTCTCACGTCATAAGTAGTGTCACTGCTGATAAGAGCGATAATTATGTTTTATGCTCAAAATACTCCCAACACTTCTTTTGCATCATTGAGCATTCTGCTTTTCTAAAACAAAAAAAAATGCTCGAGTTTAGATGTCCTGTAAACTAATCTTTTCTCTCTGGGACGCTTGAGGCCCCCAAAGAGGTAGCTCGTAACTTCAATAACTGGTTTTAAAATATCTAAATCACTATTCCAATCATCCCAATCCAAATCACACATTGACATATATAAAAAAACCCATTTCTTTAATACAATAAAGGTGCGCTTTAAAACCCCCCTTCTTTTTTGTTCAATCTGTGTTGACCTTTTTCTTATTCATTAGATAGGCTGTTCTAGGACTCAGTTTGGGTGAGACAGGTGCGGAATTGTCTGCGCTATCGGATTCTTTCCGTTCATCTTCCCTCAGCGTTTTGATATCAGAATTGTCTTCAAGTGGTGGTGAAAGTAGGCGCATGAAATGAGTGGGTACTTCTGGCTGATTTTGTTCATCTGATAAAGATGGCTCTCTAGCACGTTTAGATTCTTTTGGCTGGGTTTCAATGGTTGGCACCAGACTATTTGATTCTCCTGACTGACATTCGGGTGGCGATGGTGGACGGCTGAAACTAGAAGATGCATTTGGCTGGTGATCAGTGGATGAGAATGGCTGGATCATATTCGTAAATGTCTCTGACTGGTTTTTCTTAAGCGGCAGCATTATACTGGTGCATAAGTTTGGTGCGTGCTCAGATGGAGGAAGCGGAAGTGCACATGATGGAGGAGGTGTGGGTGGAGGTGTTGTAGAGAAATACAAGACACTGCCTGAACTTGAAGAGGATGACATTGAATTTGATTTAGGTTCATCCTGGATAAGGTTGGCGCTGGCGATTTGTGCAAGCAAATCAATAGAGGAACGATCTTGATGACGGTTTAATTTCCTTTGCTTATGCACAGAAATTGAGGATGGATTATTCAATTCATCAATTTTTTGTAACAGGATCTCACGCTCATTCACTAAATTTGCCAACAAATGTTTTTTATCATCCAGTTCCATGCTCTGTAAATCCACCAAGGCTTTAATCAAGTCATGACTACCATGTCCTTCAGGTTTTTGTGATGAAGAAGACGTACGCAAAATAAATTGGGTCTCTGTTAATTGGCTCTCGAGCAATGAGATGGTATTTTGCTGCTTTTGGATGATTGAAGTGAGTTTTCTTGATTCGAGACGTTCCTTTTCTAGCTCGGTAGCATAATGAGACACTGCTTTATGGGTGGATTGTTCACAGGCTGATAATTGCATGTGAAGTATACCGATTTCTCGTTCATATTTCTCGAGTCTGGTGATTGGTTCATCGTTATTGTCATCCTTCTCGTCGTCTTGGTGATGTTGGGGAATACCTTTTGGGTCCATGATGTGGCTATTCTTTTCTTCCAAGATTTTGATCTTTTCGTTTAAGGTGTTCATGGTGTTTTCATACTTTCTTGTTTGCATGAACATGGCTGTTTTCGTTGTCTGATCTAGTCTTTTGTATCGTAATTCGGTGGCATTACATTGTTTAAGGGATTGGTCAAACATATCAATGACATGATCTCCCAACATGTATAGCATTGTTTTATCTTTTTTGATGGGATTCTTATGTGTATATCTTAGCCTCTCTTTGGATGTAGACGATTCTGGATCGTTCATTAGTGTAGGTCGTCCTCCAGCTTCCCCTACTAAGGTTTCCATTGTTTTTCGTAAGACCTTTGAATTTCTTTTCGAAGATGTTGATTCTGCCTGTCTTTTGAACGGACGCATCGTCAATTTTCCGATTTTGACAGGGTCCATCTGTGAACTTGATGACGATTCGGACAGTCTTTTAATCGACCTCATTGGCATCTTTCCAGCCTTTTTTGCGGACATAACCTGCATATTGAAACCTTTTTTTCTAAAGAAATTAAGGGGAGAGTAATTTTTAAATAAAATTAAGCCAAGAAGAAAGAAAGTGAAAGAAAATATGGATGACCTCCCCCCCTTTTTTTAATATCTAAGCTTTTTTTTTATTTGTTCATTCATACTCTCATCTATTTCGACAAGGGTCGATTATTTTACATATGTTCATTTGACTCTTTCGTTTTATTTTGTAATTGTTGATTCTGATAGACTTTCTGTAAAGAAACAAATAGACCTTTAAGAGGGTCATTGTGCAGATATTGAAAAATGGCTGCCTAGATAAGAAACAATCCAACTGGAAATATGTAACTCTTCGGTTGTGATTTACTAAATGAATAATTATGTGCCATAGCGTTTGCGTCATATACATTTACCCCCCCCCCCTTCTTTTTTCCCCTTTCGATTGGTTTGCCATCTCTTTTTTTTTTTAAAAAAAAAATTAACAATCCTCGATCTTTGTGAAAAAGAGCCACCACCACGATGGCTTGGTTTCAAACCTTACTTTTCGGGCATGACAACGTTTCCGGAAATTACCATTCTTGCAGATAAAAATTTATTTCTTAGCCGTTCTTCTTCGACAGGCGATCGTATCATTTTCGATGGAGAGAAGAATTTTTTTTGCAGCGATTTGATCGATTTTTTCGCGAGTCAGATTGATACCGTCTCATCTCCAGTCAAGGACCAAACCTTAGTGATACATGGCATTACATTTGCATATGTACACAACCATTGCATGTTATGCCATCACCCTTTTTTTTTTTGAAAACGTTGCCTGCCGTGATTTTAAACGCATAACTATTTATTAAATTACGACATGTCAACGTCTAATTTAAACAATAAGGTCTGCAATAAATTTAGCTCATTAATCTGCATGCTGGGGCTGAATAAACCCACATATCGAGTTGGTTTATTGTGTACTACAGACCCTAAATCTTGATTACTTCTTTAATAGGTGGGAAAGCCGAAAAAAAATCGCTGGATAATAAGGCCTATAAGGCAAAGAGTTTGGAAGGTAAAAATATTTCATCTGACAGCTGTGTTCACAAACATTTCTTGAAAAGGTATAATTTTGTTCTATTCTTCCTAATATACTACGCGTTCTTTCTAAAATAACTTAAAAGAGATTGAAGAAAAGGAGAAGACTCCATCTACAAAGATATGGTTTCAACCAAGTCGAATTTAAATTAGGCACGTTGTTTCGAAAACAATTTCAATTTCTTTAGAGTTTAAGGGTGAGCAACATCAACAAAAAAAAGTTAGCGTATAATCAGTTTTATAATAAGTTTATACTGATATCTGACAGAGGGGAGGGGGGAGAAGTTCTGTTTAACTCTAAAGCTGGTGTTTCGTCGTGAATCCAGGTGCGCGTAGCCACCAACCCCGCGATTTTTATTTGTCTGAACCTATTTTAGAGTCCGACCGAAAACAATAATTTTCATTTGTCGGATATTTTTCAAGTGCCAATACTCTAATGAGAGCGGAGGCGGGCCAACCATTGCGAACCTTCTCTCATCACCACATTGTAAGTAAAACCTACTAAAGCGTGGAAGAGTGGAGGATGGGGATGATGGATAGACATACGGATGGATGATTTGGATGAATGGATGCATCCTAAAAAAAATAAGATGGCCATCATTTTTTTTTCGATAAAGAGACGAGAAAAGAGAGATAGAGATAGATAGAGAGAGACATGTTGAATTGGAACCATTGACAACTGACTTTTTACATCCTCCCCCCTTTTTTTTTCTATATTTTTTTTTCCTATTCTTATCTTCAGAAGGCATCATGCTTGTTTCTAAGCAAAACAGAAAGGCTATTTACGAAGCTCTCTTCAAGGGTAATTTTCAACTCCATGTTCAAACATGCAACCATTTTTGAAGCAGGCATTAATTTTCTTCCTTAAATAGACGGTGCATTAGTCGCCCCCAAGGACTACAACCTCCCCAAGCACGCTGATATCGATGTTCCTAACCTCGAAGTCATCAAGCTCATGCAATCTTTGACCTCCAAGGGTTTCGTCAAGACCCAATTCTCTTGGCAATGGTATTACTATACTCTCACTGATGAGGGTATTGATTACCTCCGTGAATGTACGTATTCTTTTTTTTTTTTTTTTGTCTAGTTGTGCTAGATATTCATTATTGTTTTTTTTATGATTTTCAGTCCTTCACTTGCCTCAAGAAATTGTCCCTGCCACCATGAAGAAGTCTGCTCGTCCCGCTGCTCCTCGTCGTGCTTGTAAGTTACTTATTTGTCAAATTAAAAAAAAAACGAATCACGATAAACTAACATCATCCTTTAAAATAGTCGGCGGTGAAGGTCGTGAGAACCGTGGTCCCCGTGCTGACCGTGGTGACTACAGACGTAAGGAAGGTGCCGATGGTGACTTCAAGCCCGAGTTCCGTGGTGGTCTCGGTAAGACAAACTAGACACATTAACAGACAATGAAGCAAAGACACTAAATATATCTTTTTTTAAACTCGTTGTAGGTCGTGGTAACCGCGAATAAATCATTTCTATGGTTTTGACCTCTTTTTTATATTAAAAGTAAAGCATTTTTCAAACACATAAAAACAAAAAATTGTATGGGCATTGTTAAAAATTGCCTATTTTTTCTGCTTCATTCTTTCGTGTTCTTCAATCCCTTTATTTTTTTCCCGTCCCATGTTTCAAATTCTATAATACTTGTTTTCATAAATAACAACACTGTGCATAACACTTGTTTGTAAAAGTCAATTTGGCCCTGTCCTGCATCATGTCAAACTTTATGCTTATTTGGGCCTGTCATTACGTTCCTGTCAAAACCTCAGTGAATAACTTTTTTCCAAAGTCAGACACTCAATTGATATAGAGTGTTTTTATCGACGATACCTGACTTTTTTTTTTCTCGTTGACAAGGAAATAGGTAGGAATTGAAGCAACAAGAGTTTCTCTTAACGGCTATCAATCCAAGAAAATTATCGTTTATGTGCATTGGGTGGGTTAACCCGCGTATCTTTTACAATCACGCAATAAGATGAATGAGCAAATAAATTTTTTACTGTGCTGCTGATTTCAATGGGAAACACGAGGAACATAGGTTTAGTAGGTCTACCTAATTCGACCATGGCACAGGGCAATTTGGTATTCACTTGATTTATTAGAGTTCCTCTGCTGTACTGTACACCGTTCTCGCTGTACGACAGGTTTCTTATCAGCGATCTTCCAGGATGATCCACAGAGCATAAAATCCCGAAATAAAATAAGTGTGTCAAGGGAACAGAAAAAGTGTGTGGACGAGATTTATTTGTAGAATGCTAAACCGAAAGCTGATTGACTCAATTGTTTATGTATCACTCATAATGTCAAAGCCTTTACATTAACAAACATCTTCAAAAAGCCCCCAGGCTTATATGCAAGCAATTCTGAACTTTGTAATTGTCGATCAGTAAAGGGGGTCCTTCCCTCAGAAGCAGGTCACATTTGTCCGGCCCGGACAGATATAAACTATTTTGGAGGTCCGATAGGACGGAGCGTAGGAGGGCCGTATGAGGGTCGAACTACCCGAAAGCCTTTGCAAGTTCTTTTCCTTAACAACAAAGGTAATGCATCCATCTATTGGCAGAAGCTACTCTACTCTCCCCAATTCAGCATCCAACAACATCAGAGGAAAGGATAATGCGAATCAATATGATAGATCAATGGATATCATAAAATGCGGAACACCTTGCAAAAAAAAAAGATTTATTTTTACATGGCTCATCATTTAGCTACAACCAATCTTGATTGACATTGGTTCCTTATACACTCTGATGGAAATTGGGTGGAGACGAAGAAAGAGAGAGAGAGAGATAAAGCTGCGGAAAGAAATATGTGGCTGGTATTAACGTAAAATTTTCATGAATAGAAACTAAAATGGGTCGCCGTCCTGCTCGTTGTTATCGTTACTGTAAGAACAAGCCTTACCCTAAGTCCAGATACTGTCGTGGTGTTCCCGATGCCAAGCTTAGAATCTACGATTTAGGTCGTAAAAAGGCGTCAGTCGACGATTTCCCTCTCTGTATCCATTTGGTTTCCAACGAATACGAACAGCTCTCTGCTGAAGCTCTTGAAGCCGGTCGTATTTGTGCTAACAAGTATATGGCCAAGACCAGTGGTAAGGATTCTTTCCACATGCGTATTCGTGTCCATCCTTACCATGTCACCCGTATCAACAAAATGTTGTCTTGTGCTGGTGCTGATAGATTGCAAACTGGTATGCGTGGTGCTTTCGGTAAGCCTAACGGTCTTGTCGCTCGTGTCAACATTGGTCAAATCATTTTCTCTGTTCGTACCAAGGACTCCAACAAGGCTGTTGTCATTGAAGCCTTGAGACGTTGTAAGTACAAGTTCCCTGGTCAACAAAAGATCATTCTCTCCAAGAAGTGGGGTTTCACTCCTCTTGCTCGTGCTGACTTCGTTGAAGCTCGTGCTGCTGGTTTGATCAGACCTGATGGTTGTTACGTCAAGTTCATTCCTCAAAAGGGTACTCTTAAGAACTACTTCAAGGAAGCCTCTTTGGTCTAAATATTTATAAAAGTTTCTTTTTATCTATATAAAATCTTGACTTCAGTTTTTTTTTTATTATTATTATTTATTATAATTATTGTTGTGTGTGCGTGTATGGTTGCTAAGGATTTAAATTAATAAGGGGGGCAGGATATGACTTATCCATTTCTTTCTGCTCACTCCAATTGCTCTCTTCCCAGGATCTCCTTGAATATTTTTAAGCCAAATTTAAAGCTAAATTATCCGACAAAGGAGTTTATTTTTTTTTACTCTTATAACTCGGTTCATATGAATATCAGTTATTGTAATCTAATAATTCACCATCTGCCCCCCTCTTTCTTTCCCTACTCCCTAATAATAATAGGAAAAAAAAAAAGAGAAAGTTGCAATCTCGGTATCAAACAAAGAAAAAATTACTTCTCTTTCTCTTTAATTCTTATTCTAAACTATGAACAAGTGGATTGTCTTTATAAATATTCTTCGTTATCTTATTTTATCCCTAAGTCTAATTGGATTTGCATGCCATTTTGCACAATGCGCCTTATTAACAGAATATCAACACCGAGTAAGTTTTTCAACAATAACGAGATGATATGCAGCTAAAAAAAAAACGAAATCCTTAGACAAATATACCTGGATGGTTCAGTGCAGGACACTGGCAGGTAAGCAAAATAATAATAACAGTAATGATACTTCTTTATAACATTTACTCTACATAGTATCTAGCATGGTATGTTGCCTTTGGACTATCAGGATTAAGCGCAATCGCTGTTTGCACACATGCTACATGCTGTCGACGAAGTCATATATTACGAGGGGATAAATGTCTTGGGCTGGTCAACATTGTGCCTTTGACAGCAACTCTAGTAGCCAACACATTCATCAGCGGACAAGAACCTTGGACAAATGGCATTGTCGAGTTCAAGGTACCTGCAAAAGGATTTATCACTTTTTGTAACATGTTGAATGAAGATACTGATGCATCCTACCCCATTCTATTTCAAAGGTAAATCTTTTTTTTTTTTTTACCTAAAAGCTGATTTCTGCCTACGGCTATTAACACACAGAGCGTAGATGTTTATTGTTGGATGGAACCTATGTTATGGCAGCCATGTTGTGCCTTTCCTGGATTATATTGGTGCTATGCACATGCTTTATTAAAGTGAGAAAAGCATCGGCTTCATTAGCAAGACTTCCCAACGAAAATACGCATGCGTCTGAAAAGAGCAGATCGAAAATCATTGAAACGTACAACCACCCGTATACCAGAAAGCATTCGACATCGTTTGAAGAGTCATTTCAGTATAATACTCAACCAGTCAATGGTGCGGGTGCCTATCAGAAATATGCAGTGCCTATAGCGCCGCATATGGAGAAGGTCGAATTACCAGCAAGTTACGACAACACGGGTGAGCATGTTTTAGAGCATCAGCCCTTAACACGAAATCATACCAGTGCGCCAGGAGGTTGGGTAGAATATACAGCTCCTCCAGCTGCTTCACCGTATCATTATCAAAGCCACGGACAAGAAGAAAATCCTTGGTACCCACGCATTGATAAAAATCGGATTATATAAATATTCTCTCTCTTTTTTTTTTTTTTTTTTTTTTTGTGACCGCCATAAAAACGCATAAAAGTTACCTTTTTGTTGTTATATTTTTTTTTATACATTTACAATTACCAGTCTTGAAGCATGATGGACAATCGGATCGTCGCACCCTCTTTATCAAACGTTTCTGGGTCACGATTAAGTGGAAATCAAGACGACTTTCCAACAGAAGCTTTAGAATCGACATTAGACAATTTACTAGAGGTGGGGTTAAAATTTTTTTCTTTTTTCTTTCTTGTGAAATCTGGAGAGAGAGAAATATTGACGCAAGTTTGGAGGATAGAAAAACTCTGAACTTACAAAGCATTTAGAAAAGGCACTTTTAAAGATATCACGCTTACGAAAGCAGCGCAGGTATAAATTTTTTTTTTTGACATAAATGTCAAAATAATGGAACCTAACCCGTGCGGCACGCCCGATTATTTGTCATAGCGTATTATTAGATGTGATTGTCAAAGTAAATTCAAACGATGAAGCGTATGAAGATGATGATAATGTGGACGATACCGAATTATTATCAGATATAGATTCTGAAGTTGAATCCTCCGACGATGACCCAGAGGTAGAGATCATCCCGCTTCCACAAACCAAACGTAGAAAAGTACAGGCCAAAAGGCAGCGAGGCACCAAATCCATCATTGTGCCCAAAGACGAATCCGGTAATTATATTTTTCCAGTGCAAATAGGCAGAACCTTGTTATTATCGCTTGGAAATATCATACCCAATGAGAACTTTTACAACCAGAATTACATATTTCCAGTCGGTTACTCAATGCAGAGGTAAGAAAGAAAGAAAAAGGCATACCCCGATTTCCAACTATCCTAAAAAAATAATTCTAAATAATTCAAGATTTTCTTTAGAACTTACAAGAGTATGGTAAATGAACATGCTTTTACAACATATACTTGCTCGATCGATAAAGATGCCTTTGATAAACCCATCGTAAGTGTTCATAGGGACCGGGGATTGAGACGTGTATATTGATCTATGTGATAGTTTTGCATTCAAGCGGAAGATGCACCTGATATCATCATACAAAAGAACACACCTACAGCCGCCTGGTCAGAAGTGCTTAAGCGATCCAACGAGCTTCGAAAGAAAGAGTTTAAAAACACTGTGTCTGGACCTGAATATTACGGCTTATCGTTTGCCACAATAAAAAAGATGATCCAAGAACTCCCGGGTGCCGAAGAGTGTTTAGGATATCAATGGGTCGATCTTTAAGGAATGATTCCTGTGCTATCCTATACTACCCTCAACTTTTTTTTAAAAAAGGGAAATTTAATGCCATCCATACTATTTAAATTAAAAAGAAAAAAAAAAAGCAAACCTTATTACGCTGACATTGTAAAGAAAATGCTCACATGTACCTTGAATGTGGGCGTCAGTTCTTTTTTTTTTTTTTATGTATCAGACCTTTACCGCAGATTCATGGTAATATGGGCCGTCATTACATATGCACATCAAAGCCAGTCTTGATCTTATACATAAAACTTATTCAAATGATCGATGATTTATTTTCATGTAGAAAAAGGGTACACTGCATTTATAACTTACCTCTGCAGTAGGAGGCAAACACAAAATAAATATCCGAAGGATTAAGAACAAATGCGAAAATTGTGGAAGAAGCTTATTCGGTAGTGGTTCATCTCTCGATCTTTACTGCCTTCTCCCCATAAAACACTTTAAAGGAGTGAGCCTGGGCAAGATATGTATATATATTACTGAAAAGAGAGGATGGAGATCGGAACCCCTATGTAATGAAAAAAAAAAAAAAAGGGGATCGAGTATCAGGCTAGTTCATTAACGTATGACTTTATGGTGACATTAGTTTATATACATGGTAATAAGATGACTCTATTTTTCATTTTACAAACATGAAGTTTTGAATCAGTAGAAAAAATCAGTCGTCATGCTTTTCACACACACACACACACATACACATTTTAGAAATAGTACGGCTACACGTCCGAAGTGAATACTTAATATAGGCTCTTCGTCATAGATAGATTAAAGTAAAAAAAAAAAAAAAAAAAAAAAAAAAAAAAAAAAAAAGATAAAGATGAAAATCAGAAATTGAAATGATGATGGGTGATCGATACGCCTTGTACGGTATACAATCGACCTGGCATTGGATCGGATAAATCTACAGAAACAATATACATAACTTCGATCACCTAACTTGTTAGGGGATACCATGCATCTGGTTCGAAATAAACTTTCAGATAGATGCAATAATGGTTGGCAGGATACGAATTATATGCGACAGCTCTTTAATGACAGACAAACCCCAATCAAATAAAAGCCGCACTTTAAACTAAGGCGTACTCGGTCTAAGAGTCCTTATATCGTAATATGCTCACATACAAACAAACAATATGATTTGAAATTATTCGTAGCACGCCAAGTTTTTGTATTAGATTACTATTCTAAATCAGACAGAGTATAAAAAATATATAGACCGAACTATCAAAAAAAGTCCATTAATATCTATTTTATTCTAATAACTTCCATGGACTACAGACAATATAATAGGCAAAATCCAGGGCAAAGATCGCTTACCTACTTCTTCTTTTTCTGAATTGGATCTTCAGTGTGTTTTTTTGGTCCCTTTGTGTTTCTAGACCCAATAATTTGGTAAATTAGAACTAACATGGTTTAAAAAAAACATTAAGGCACAGCACGTCCCATTTCGATTGTTTTTGTGTTTGTGTGATTTTTTCTTCTTGCATCTTATCCAGAATGTTCTAAAGAAAGAAGAAAAAAAATGTATAGATACTCTGGGAGTATTTGCTTTTAGAATGGTCTTTTAACCTAACCGCTTATATTTACGTAAGCCCTAATTACTTTCAAAGAACTGATTAAACCGGAATTATTTATCGGTTAAAAAAGAAGTAGAAAAAAAAAGAAAGACTTAAATTCAAATATTCGGATTGACAAATAAAGCTGGTTTGGGAGTGAATAAGGGACAGATGAAATCGGAAGTACTTACGGCAATGTATATATTCATGTTTCCCCCCATGATACCAGATATCAGTGCAAATAACCAAAAAAAAATCTTAATGCGGGGATTTTTTACCGCGATTAAAGGAGAATTGGAAAGTGCAAGCTATCAAACTTTCTAAATTAGTATATTTCCTTTAATGCAAAGGAAATCGTTTAAAGTAGTCTATACATGTACTATTCCTCACATTACATCATTCGAGTTAATTATAGTCTTCTACACTAGATTAAAAAAACATTTAAATAGAATGAGTTTTTTTTACAAGTTTTTTTAATTATTTTCTAAAAAACTTTTACTCTTGTTCAATATATCTTACTCTTCACACACACACACGATAATTATATAAAAAAAAAAGCCATGTCATTATCATCTACACACCCTACTTCTAGTGTCATGTCTATTGGTGCTATTACGTCTCCATGCTCAAGCACCAAAACACGTCAAACATCTATTGATTTGGCACAAAATAAAACATCAGATTATCAACTTCCATCTTTAAGCCAAGTCGGTTTCTCCTCTCCCAACCATGCAGCAGTGGGTCACTGGATTAAATCATCCACCAATGGAGCAGTGGATTTATCTCATGCATATGATTCATCTAAACGCATGCGATTCTCATCCGAAGGCACTCATATCGTGTCCTCACCCTCCTTCTCATCGTCTGTTTCGTCAGATCATGAAAGCGATTCCAATTCTAGCTGTTCACAATTATCACCCAACATCTGCAAAAGCACCTATTCCCCATCCAATAGCAATTGGCTAAGCTCGGTCTATAACATGAGCGAAAATGAGCAAATGATCAACAATCGGAACATGTATGCTAAAGAGGCTTTATCAACCGAACACTTGTTGAATGATTTTGACATGCAAGAGTACGACGAATTCAGTCATACTCGGTCCAACTCATTTGACTATTGCGATAGTCAAGAAAACAATTATCTGTATACTGACAAGTCTAACCCAACAAAAACCGGCAGAAAGGGAGACGCACTTGCGACCAGACGAGCCCGCAATAAGCTTGCTTCCGCCAAGTACAGAGCCAAGAAACAAGCACTGACACATGCAATGCAAGATCGCATTATGCAGCTTGCCACACAGGTCATGTCCCTTCGTGATGAATTATCTCAGACAAGAAAAAACGAGACCGAGTTATTAGACAGATACGAAAGATTAGTGACATATTATCAGCGTACGAATGGAAAGGTGAACAAAAACTTAAAGGGAAATGCCGCCCCACTATTATAAAAAAAAAATATGCCCTCTATACCAATTTATACCTCCCTCTACCCTTTTTTTTTTGTAATTTCCTATTATTTTTCCCTTTCAATTAGCTTTCTTTTGTTCTTTAAGAATATTAAATTAACATTATTTTTTTCTCTCTCTCTCAAAAACAAAAAAAAAAAATAATAAACTTATGACCAGTTGTTCCTTTTCTTCTACTCTTTGACTTCATTAAGCTCACATGAGCCTGTTTAAAATCTTATGCCTTTTTATCTTGTACAGTCCTAATTCGTATAAAAGAAACAGTTGGGGGTGCTGATTTTTTTTTCTTCCAGTCCATATATGTCTTAATAAAAGGCAAACGGAGGTACCGACTGTTACTATACAGAGACATTACCTTATTTAAGGAGGCGAGAACGGCCAAATGGCTTCAACGGTACAAAAAAAAATAGAAGCAAAAAAAAAAAAAAAAAAGACAATTTATTATGCAAAAACAAAAATCCAAACTAGTTGACACTGTCATTATAGTTCTTATTGACACACATAAGAAAGTTCTGATTACAGAGATTGTAACTAGAAGAAGTGTGATATTCATTGCTAAAAAGGAATTTTATTGAGACTTTTGCTTCCCAATTAGATAAAACACATCAACACGCGATGAATCATCATATAGGATGAGGTTATATTGGTTATGTAATTTGTTGAATTCTTAATAACACTGAAATATTGTCAACATAAAAAAAAATTTTTATTAGACCAAGTTTGGTTAATAGGATAGATGAATGGCATTACACACCCTTTTTTTTTAAAAAAAAAAAAGTGGTCGTTCATCAACGGTAGTACCCACTCATTGGTTTTTTGCTACTTGTCTGAGACATATCACCCGAGGAAATACTTAGGAGATCATCCTCGATGATATGGGGCTGGACCATTTGACCTTGAAACCTACGTGTGTTGTCATGGTTGCCTTCAAATGTCAGGTCAGTAGTAACGTGATCATCATTTTGTATCCTTGTTCGGTTATGTCCCGTTCCAGAAGTTCCACTTGTCGTAACCTAAAATCGGAGAAAGGGGAGGGGAGGTGAGATAATTAGAAGGTTTGAAAAAGTTTTGGTTGTCAAGATATGCACAGTACCCAATGGACGGTGACAACATTAACCTATAAATAAATATGTAATTTAGTGTTTTTTTTATAATAGTAAATTATGATGATTTTTTCTTCTTCTTATTTACAGTAACATCAACGGTGCACATAGACAAGCAGACCAAACCACGCTGATGTCCATGAGTCAAGACGACCAATAAAAGATTGACAAATGAAACAGAGAGACAAACAATGGATGCCACCAAAGTTCTTCTGGCCAGTTTGTAAAGTCTGGATACTTTCCAGTCGGTTCTTGTATTCTGACCAATGCTCGTCAAAGGCCTCATAAAGAGCCATGTCAGGTAAAGGTTGAAAATCTAACCAATGAGTTTGTTAGTAAAAAAAATTTAAAGGTAAAATATTACTTTCTGGTCTATTTGGGATAATTACAAAATCGTAAACCTGTATTTAAAATAGATGCCGCACAGTGATTCTTTTAAGTTTTCATGCAAATTTTTTAAAAAATCGTATTGTCTGACTTACCAAGAGTGGAATACTGGCAATATCTTGTAGACCAATGATACATGTGCCGTCAGGCGCCAAGTAAATGTTTCGAAAACATAGCTACAAAAATTAGGTTAATTTTTTTTTTTTTTTTTTTTTGTATATAAATCGTCAGGGCATTTGTAATATTGATATGTACCATCAGTACAAAAATAATGATATAGGGGCATAATAAGACAAGATGAAATTTGTATTGTCCAGTCCTGAGTCTTGTGGTCTTGACAGCCGTTACCAAATGAACACGTTCAATTAACCTGTAAGGATAGAAGACCATGGAAGAAACGAATTAGAATTTTTACACCTCTTTTTTTTTTTTTTTTTTTTTGGAAATCAAGTAAAATATACATGTAATTACCAGGCATAACATACAACCTTACTACCGGCGTAAAAAAAATCGCATGCAAGCATGCCAATTGTACAAGACACCATATTATCTATAAAATCGATTTATAATATTTTTAGTATCATTCCTTTTTGGGGTAAATCCCCAACTCACGAGTTTATTCAAACTGTACTATTGTTAGTAGAGACCACTATAACGGAAGTAGCCGCAAAAGCCCAGGATAGTGCATAAAGCAAAATGACTAATACTCGGCCGTAATTTAAAGATCTTGCTTTTTCACCATTTGTCTTGGCACCAAGGGCCAGTGCCAATACCGTGATACATGTCAAGGATATTAGCTCAGATGCTATCTCCATACCATCTGGATTAATGAGTGAAAGGTCTGTGGGAATGTCTACTATAGAATTATTCATCGTTTTTTTTATTATTGAGTAATGACTCAATAAAGAGAAGCAAACGAAAAAAAAGGGGAAGGGAATTAGTCCATGTATTATCGACTCTTTTACTTTTGATTTATTTATTGTAGATAATCAACTCCCTCTTAATAAGGAAGAAAAAAAAAAAGAAAAGATATACATTAAAAAAAAATGGCTCAATAGTAATTATATATTATGATCTGCAGTTTATAGAAAAATGGCGAATTTGAGTTCATATGAACCAAGAAAAAATGCATATAGAACAGCCGTTAATTTCTAGCCCAAGATCACTTGTATCGACCATTGGACTTTTTCTTATGCCAGGGAGTATAATTCATTACAAGACTAAGACATAATGAAGCACGTGCAAGTTATTATACTGTAGTTACAATTATACTGCAGGAGAATCACTAGAGCAAGAGTGTATAAGAAAACGCCACTGACTTAGGAGAGGTATCTCGATATTGGAGGGAGCAACTCCAATATATAGAGGAAAATCATTAAAAACATCCATATGCCAACAATTTGGGAGATTAATAGACATCTAGGCATCTTTAAATACAAGGCACACAAAAGAAAGGGAGGTTGAAGGGACGGGTTCTCCCTGTCTTGTTTGCATATACAAAAAGTTAATCCGAAAAAAAAAAGGCCCTCCACGTTGGTGAGTTTAAAACAATGAGCGAATCAAAGGGTGAACTTAAATTTCCCTGTGTCATTCAAGGTCAAAAAAGAAAAAAACCCTCCCTTTTTTATTTTTTTGCGCCAAAGACAAACAAATTAAACATGCAATCTGCTCAGACCGAATTAGACTTTATCAAGTTTTACTTGGAAACTCTTTCTGATAAATCAGTACGTTACGGTGATGACTATTTGGCGCGTAAGTTACCCAGTCCTTTAAGAATTAAGGTATTACAATTAAAAGAGATGAAAGTTTTTTTTTTCCTTCTTCCCTTGTTCAATTAAACCCTGAATCTATTAGAGAGTTCCCGTTAGTCCCGTTATTGTTAAAGGTAGAATGGAATGTTCTGTAAACACCACACGCATGTATTTACCCCTCTTTTCTAAAAAACCATTTCAGAACCCATTGCATCCGAGACAAAGTCAGAGAGTCAGACTCCAAAGCTTCAAGTGACAGTCAAGGTCCTGAAGCCCTCTTCAACTTTCACAATTGGTAGCTTATCACCCAAGGATACTGTCCATCAATTAAAGCAACGTATCTATCAGCAACAAAGTTCACTTCCCGTCAACCGCCAACGCTTACTGATCAAGGGTAAAGTCTTGGCTGATCAAAAGAGTTTGGAAGAGCTTTCGATCAATGAAGGTACCGTCATTCATCTTATGGTGACAGCTGCACCTGCTACACCTGTTATCGGTAGATTTGGTGTCTCTGCAGAAACCGAAAAGAAGATGTCAACTCCCGAGTTTTGGGCTGCCTTGGAAAAGACAATTATTGATCAGGTTGGTGAAGTGGATGCAAAATTAGTATTTAGTAAGGTCAAATCCTCGTTATCTGCATAGATAATAATAATAATAATAATAATAAAACGGATATATTTTTTATTTGAAAGTAAACATTAAGAGAATAATAAAGGTGTAGTAAATAACATTATGATGACATTTTGGCAGAGTTTATATATATAACGGGTAAGAAATTATTCACTCATTCCCTAACAACCATTCAGCAACGAATTTCTCTTCTTCTGCATGATCTTCCCATTCTTCTTCTTCAATAAACCATTCCTCATCCTCATCTTGCTCTTCTAAAGTCAAGGCATGTAATGGGATGATGTCTGTTTGGCACCCTCTATCAACTGTACGAGGCTTTTGGTTACGATGATGGTTTCCACTCATTTGAGGTCTGCTGGGTATAGAAGGCATAACATAAATCATGTCCTGTTGTTCCTCATTTATTTTAGGGACGATCGGTGGGTTCCTTTTTTCATATTGCTGACGTAAATCCTCAAATGTTTTACTAGTGGTCTCTACAGAACCAGCTGCAGCTGCCATTAATATATTTCCATTTACATCCATTAAAACGTTTTCATGAAATGAAGGTGGTCTTGACCCCATAGACGCACGTTTTACTACCATACTTGAAGGTCTCTCAAAGCGAGGCTTGGTCTTTTCTTCTTTGCTACTTGAACCGCCAGATGTGTTAGACATTCGGCTATGGTTACTGTAGAGACTACCAGAGGTAGACATTCTACTTGAATTTCTCATTAAATTTGTAGTTTCGTCCACCAGTAATTCTTCGTGCGTGGAGTAAGATCGAATGGAAGATTTTGTCGGTGGTTTATCTTCGTAAATGATGGAATGCCTTGACTTTTGTGAGGGACGAGATGCTACACTTGAAGCGGGTGTCAATGGAGGACTATCACCTCTTGTGAGACGAGGCAATGGTGGTAAAGGTGGAGGAGGCGATGTTGCTCTTTTCTTTGATTTTTGACTGATTTTGGGGTTACTTGTTGAGAACCGTTCCCAAGGCGTCACATCATCCTTTATTTCAATGGACCTCAGTCGATTCGGGGTCAATGAGACTTTCTTTGTATTGCCGGACCTGATCAAATCATCAAAATCATTCACGGATGTTTGGAAAGTAGGTGCTGTAGGTGAAGTCATGGGAGAACGCTTTGAACTGGAAAACGAAAGAGAAATCGAGTTTCGTTTTTCCTTATTGCCAAAAAAATTAAATCGACTTTTACTTCCGGATGACTTTACAGTGCCATTACTCATAATTGAAAGTGGACGGTCGCTTATGCTATCACTGGATCTCATTGAACAATTTGAGGAGGGTGTTGCACGAGTTTCTTCAGTACTTTCACCTTCAAGGAACTCGTTGAAACTGATATCAGGGTTATGATGTGTTGCTATATAAACCAATTATTTAATTACTGGAGCATCATATGTACATGAAACTTACAAGTATCTCTCTTAAAGGATATGGGACTAGGCGATGGTGTTGGTAAATATTGATTATTGTAAGTGGATGCTCTTTTCTATGGAAACGCCCAAAAATCAGCTCCCTGTCACCTTTTTTTTTTTTTTTTTTTTTTTTTTTACCTCCAGCTTTTCTTTCAGGCTCATACGCCGAAAAAGCTTATTGACTTGCGGGTCATCTAATAAAGCAAGCAATACCTCCTTAACTCTGATATGCTCCGCATCTGCCTGATCTGCAGCTATAGCAACCGAATTAAGAATGTACTCCGCTATATGCTCCACGATAGCAGTTACATAAATGACAACAACAGGCGCAATTGTAATTGTATCATTCTGTAAATGAGGAGCATTACTGCTATGATTTTCTGCAGCCAGTGTACAATAATCTGTACAGGCCAATTGAAGTAAAGGTATAATTTGTTCAGGTGGATAGACTGTGTGACGCATCTTTTCATAAGTTGTGAAATCATGTTGCTCGGCTTCTATCTGATGTTTCAATTCGATTTCGGCTTCCACAAGTGAATTTTTTCCTAGAGAGTGAGGTAATAGTTGAACGACGGCAGTTTTTAATAAAACTAGATCGAGTGTGCTTGCTGACATTATTAAAAGCGCGAGAAACTCATCTAGAAATAGATTGATTGCACTCAACGCATCACTAGACACGCGAATCGGTCCAAATTCTGCAATGATGGCATGGGCGGCTCTTTGGCAAACATAATGGCCTAGCTTGTTTCGTTAGTCTCTATCTTTTTTTTGGATAAGTTTACATAAAAACTACCTTTTGACATGTTTTTTCTTTCTTTCTTTCTTTTGCGTGGAATAAGTATCAATAAAAAAAAAAAAAAGAAAGAAAAAAAATATTTTAAAAAGAAAGAAAGAAAAGAGGAGCACAAGAAAACTGCTTTAGGCACATGGTCTAACAAACGAAAAAAAAAAAGGGAGTTTGGAAGGGGGGAAATGGATTTGTTTGGCTCACAGTGTGCTCGCAACGCCAATTGACGGTTTTTGAAAACTGAGGGGCGGGAAAAGATGACTGCATTTATTACATTTCTTTGAGACTTTCCCCTATTCGAAATTACAAATAACTGGAAGCAATCATATGAAAGAAGAAAGAAAAAAAATCAGTGCTGATGATTTTCTTTATTTCGGTGTTACTTCCAGTTTGTACTGGCATGTAACCGTGATACAAGCTTTCCAAATGTGGAATATGCAGACTTTTAACCGTGAAAATGATGACCCATCTGATGCAATATTCTTGTTATTTTCGAGGACTCTGTACATGGGTATCTAATCTAACAAAGATGATTTTATATCTTTTGGGTAATTTCATTACAAAAAAAAATTAATGCAAATTGGTTTACAACTAGCTTTTAAAGTTTTAATTTATACGTTTTTACTAGTATGAAAGAGGAAACAGCTCAAATGCTAGTTACCACTTATGTCTGCAATAAATTTAAATGAATGAAATAAAATAAGGGTAGGTTTCATTGTTCTGCTAAATTATTCCTTATCATTTCGTTTGCAGCAATCGAGCTTCCTTTGTCTAATATTATAATTTCATTATGACGTGCTTCAACTATTTTAGGGTGAGTTGAATTAGACAATAGCCTCTTCTTGTGTTACAACAGAATATATTTACATCATAAAAACCAACGTCACCTCAAGAAATCATGGTACTGAAAGTTCGAGAAATGTAAAAATCCAAATTTAAGCTTACCTAAAAAAAGTATTCTCGCTATCAACTATGTTTTGTGTTACATTTCCTGTACAGAAAGCGGTGGTTGTCTTTTCAAATTTTATAATATCACCGCTTTTGAGTTTAGAATCAAATTCAGGGCAAATTGTTGTCAAAAGAAGTGAGAGACCTACAGCTAATACAGAATTTGAGTCGCTCGCATGTGCAGACTCAAACCCAAATACGGAGGGACATAATTAATTACAAAATATAACAAATACATTGATTTAGTCAACCATTTTTTAACCAGATAGTGCTTTTGATGGATGTACTACTTCTTGTCTATCATCAATCTCATAAAAACTTTTCTCATCCGAATTTAGCGGTTCTAGATCTATTGGAGAGTTTGTCACTTTTTGTTCTCAACGCAATATTTATTTACGTTTGACAAGTAAGACGCTTCCTGTTAGAATTCCAAGAACTGTGGAAATCGATGAAGATTATAAAATAAAAACAAGAAAAATTTTAAACTTGCAAAAACTAACTACGGCTTTATTAAACAAATACAAAGGGGTCTTTATATACACAATATTTCAGACATTAATAACAGTGACGGGCTAATGTCAATTGTGGGTAAATTCATTCAGATAATACTCGGATGTAATGATCCCGTACAGAGAGGTTATAATGAGATGTCAATAACAATAACAATAAAATTCTTAATAAAAATAGCTGTGGCACCTCAATTGTGGCTGATGTAACCTTCATATGTTTTAGATTAAATGTATGTTTTAGACTTGTATGAAGCATGATATGAGATCACGCCTGTACATAAAGTAAATGGTCAGTGTTTAATATAAATTATATCTAGAATTATCAAATGGAAGATTAAAGAAGTGCGGATGGAGTCATATATTAAGTACATAGCCTCGATCACGACACGAACAATGGCTGCTCCGCCTTAGAACACGTTTCTTGTTGTTAATCTCTTGTACATCTGATTTATTTAATTTGTACTATATTTTAGTTTTTGTATTTGAGTATTTTCCCATGTATTATGCGCTAAGCATTATGCAGACATACTCTTATCTTTCTTTGATTTAATCCACACCTTCTTCATGTCTCAAACATTGGGTTGAATATAATTCCATTTGAAAAATCATCATTTAATCTTGCTTACACGTTGAAAAGCCCATCAATGTCGTATCATTTTATCAATTGTATGTCTTATTTGTTTGTGTCTGGTTGTTAATACGGTACGATTTATTTCAGAATAGATGAATGAATCGTATAAATAATAAACACCCAAAAGTTTTTTGCGGTAGCAGTCTAACTTGGACTGCAAAAAAGTTAGACTGGACCAGCGGTCGCGGTCCATTTTTGAATGGAAACCGACCGCTACTACCAGTTTCTAGCGAATGGAAACATCATAATCTTATTATTTAATGACATTGTATTGGAGAATATTCTTTAAATGTTTATAAAACTAGGGATTTAACACTTACAATACCAGATGGTTTTTACAAAAATAATGTTTATATTGGTTTTTATGTAATAACGAAATAATCGGTGAAGAATTTATACATGTATATATACTATGTAACACTATAGGGATATGTGTATTGTGAGAATGACAAACATCATCACAAAATCGGAAGCCATACACAATATAGTATTGGCTGTCCTGGTGGTATATGGAGACTGACAGATGCAGAAGTTGTACCTAACTATGTATATAACTTACCTTTAATAAAGCTGAATTAAACTAATAAAGACACTGTTAGAAAATATGAACACGATTTCAAATTTTTTAAATAGACTTACACTATAGTTGACAATCATGTATTTAAAGTGGATAACAACCGTATACGCAAAAAATAAGGTAGTAAGTTAAGCCATAACAACCAGCGGGATGTATAACAATATGTCTAGTACCTTTATAGTTCATTATGAGGAAGTGATGTTCCAATGTACTTACTATATTTTTTTAAAAGAAATTTTTTGTTTTGGGGTTAAAAGAAAAAAAGAAAAAACTCGTTTATATGCAGATCATGATCAAAAGAATTTAAATTATGTTCTATAAGTGTATGTATAACATTTTGTTCGATCATGACTCTTCTGCTTCGACCGTATGTATGATTTAGTTTTGAATCGATATATGGCTAGTTCTCATGTTATTGGGATTATATCCAGGATTGAGACTGATCTTCGATTAAGACGGCTTCATAGAAGATAAGTATCACAATCACTTTTTAAAAAAAAAAACAATTACCTCAAATGGTTTATATCTTTACGACCTACTAGTATGTATGAGCCTATTGATTTCACATAATGCAAATGTAATCACGTAAATAGAGGTGCTGATACCAAACATTATGCAGGAAATTCATCTTGATTTGATTTGAACCCCTTTAAATCCTTCTGTGCCTTGATTATGTAATTAAGCTGTAGCAGTTTATCCAGTGTCGATGTATGCCTTCTCTGATTTTTATCACTGCCCATCATGCGTAGTGGAGTGGTTTAATAATAAAAAGAGAGGGAAAAATTACGTCCATTTAACATATAGAGAAGGTACTGGAGTATTTTATTTCCCGTGGTGGTTTGCCTTTTGTTGGATTTAAGCTTGTTGTATGTCTTCTTGGTGAATAATTAGAAACCAGTTTCCAAAATTTTCTTTTCCAAACATGGAAGAAGTGGAATATACGACATGAGGTGTAACTGAAGCGGTTTCAGGTCATAACGTCGAACGAGTGCCTTTATCGGTCACAGCATAAGGAGTGTCAGGGGTTGAAATTCAAACGCTGCGTTTCCTTCTATTTTTGTACACCGACCAAAAAGAAACAGCTAAGGAATGACCATCATCGCAAGAGAGTACGCCAGATCTTGTTCAGAACAACGTTGGTGTAAGTTTACAGTTTTCGCCTTTATGGTAGACAGTCAATTGTTTTAACGCCACCAAGTCCTTCTATGCTCGCCGTTTCTGCGTATAACAATGGTTTTGCAAAAGCGAAAAATAATATTTGAAGACTGCCTGATGTCCTTTTGTAACAAGTCTATTTAAGCGCCAATAAAAAAAGAATCGCACGTCTTTCATTTTCCCACATTCTCAGAAGAAAAATTGTAGGAAGAACTCCACTGCCATGACACCTTTGAAACCAGGTTTAACAGGTAAACATGCTTGCATGGGGGGTTCACAATCCTTTTTGTTCTAATTTCGTTTTTAGGTTCTCAAAGCTTAAAACATTTTCCACTGTTTATTAGGTATTTTGTCCTTTACTTTGATTTACGTTTGACTACTTGACCTTGAGGTCAGAAAAATTAGAACTGCAACATATCGACAATACATTATCATGATAGATACCATCACCTTTTGGTAAAGGATCCCAAAGGACAATTTGGAATCATAAGCCATTGTGATAGGCTGTCTCTAGACGATGCAGAAGAAGAAGATGAATTATTATTGAGGATCATGAAAGAGTTCAATATCGATATCCCTTTTACGACGTATTTATTTTAAAACGAGCAGTACAATAGGTCTAATTGCCAAAGGAGACCAGGAGAAGTCAATGTCAAAACATATTGGTGAGATCAAACATACAGCAAATGCAACAAAAAGTAGCGGGTTCATACGAGAGGGGGATGTAGAACACGAGAGGACAGAAGATTACAACGCATACAAAAATAATATTTCGTGGATATGAGTCTGATATCCAAAACAAATAGAGGAATATTTCGACCTGATGATAGGATGATGACAAGAAATAGGAAAATGACGTGTTGAAAAGGTAATGGAGGGTACGAATGAGAAAAAAAAGATGTACGTCTACGGCAAATATACTTCACAATGGCAGGAGAGAATCCAAAAGTAGTGTTGGATAAAAGCGTGTAATTTTTGTGAGTGTAAATTGCGTTGGAGGGTGTAACATAGAAAAATGACAACAGCAATAAATTAGTATATAAAAAACAAAGAATGTGTTTTTTCTTGTTTGTTTGATTAACTTAATCTGAATTGGACACGAGAGGAACTTTCAACTGTAACCTTAAAAATTTAATAAATGAATCCAGTTAATGGCAGTTGCTGTTATTTATACAAGTTATTGTGACAGGAGGTCAATTAGCCTTTTGGTAAAAAGGACAGGGTATTCGAAATCACATTCACAAGGATTTACGATACGGTAATCATCTTCGTGTTTTGTAGATCTATTTCCTTTTACACAATTCTCTTTTATCAATAATCAAATAATGATAATGTCAACGTTTTGAAGCTTTCCATACACGTTCTATAATGAGCACACCAAGTCTCTTTTAAAAATTCCAGCGAACAAAAATTGCCTTTAAGGCCATTTTGATTGATGTTGTTATCCTTATTTTAGTAAGAAAAAAAAAGAATCTTTCTCAAAGTAAACACTGGGCTTATTTTAAGGTCTACCTGCGGTTAGATGTTGTGCCATAGTCACAGCTTAGGATTCGCTACTTTTTTGGCTGTGCCTAGGAGATTACAAAGCTGTAGTGCTTGTCCCTTATGCGCCTTAAACCATGTAAAAATAAACAAATATATATTGACCTGAAACTTTTGAAAGTGTTCGCTCCTTAGCCATCATTACAAACAAATGCTACCAAAGAGTTCGTTACCAATTTTTTTAAAGCTTCACCTCGAAACCAATATTGAGACAGTAATCATCAAGGTCAAAAGAACACTTGCAAATGTTATTGCCCTATTACAACAAATAAGAACCGCCAAAAATAGGGATTTTCTTTTCCTAAACTCAACCTTTCGAGAATGAACGTTTAACATAGCATTACGGAAGATAATCTTTTGGGTAGTAATGACAAAAAAAAAAAGTGCTTCTACCTTTGTAAAAGGATAAATCGCAAGGATCACAAAACTAAAAAACATCAAAAGTTTGGGGAAGGGTTTTATGAGCAGGAGAAAATAGTTCTAAATGACTTATCTCAAATGTGAATGACTGATGAAATTTAGCAAGTACTGTATAATATAAAGTACTGCATATGGCACACTTCAAATGGTGTAGCACTGTTGAGGCTATCATAGATATAATAATAAAGTTAATTGTCACATCACATTAAGGATGGATAATTAATATAAAATTAAATCATGAATCACACATTGCCCCGCTTGTTCTCATCCTACCGTTGAAGTCTGTACACAGGGCACAACCCTGTGGCGAGTAAATATTTATTCTGCAAAAGCAATACAATCGAGTGGGCAGGAATAGGTAATATAATAGATCCTGAGCACAAATATTACTCTTGTCATTTGATGTTACAACTGTTGATCCCTCTGACTAATATTTATATACTCAGTATGGATGAGCTAACTTTAAAGACACGTTGATTATTTACTATCACCAGAGTATTACATCATGATCCAATAAGGCGCTTAATATTCTCCCTAGAACTATCCCAGTTCTTTATATAAATATCGATAGTTTTTTCTCATAGACCATGAATACATTTTTGAATACATTTTGAGTACGTTTTTTAAATTTTTTTTTTTCGTCCATAATAAAGTGGTATCCAAGTTCTAACAGTATCACTTTTGGTTTAATTTTAATTTTGTTCTCCATGCAAAACAAGCAGGACCCCTAAAAAAAACCAACCCTTTAATACTATCAGAAGGTACCCGATCCTAAGTGACCCTATTTTTGTTTTTTTATAAGCATTGTGTCACTTACGTTTTAAAAAAGCCAAAAAGACGCTGGTAGATACTTTCTCTTGCTGGTCTATATACATATATTTAGAAGCGGCTGTACCTGCGTCTATAATTGTCTCTTTTCTGTTTTTTTTTCTTTTAGTAATTCGGGTATGTGATGGACGGTAAAAAAATCAATTATGAATTTCATTTACATGGAGAAATGGCATCTTTTCCTTTATGCAGCTATTCATGAAAACGGCTATATGCTAAAACCACTACTGGTGCAGGATCTAAGTAATAAAAATAATATACTAATTACACATTTGTATACTCAAAAAAAAATTAAGGGGGGGGGGTATAAAATAGTAACAAGTTCATGAGATTTGTTGAACGATAATCGCTTATTTACGAGAATATCGTAGGTCTTAACAGCTTTTATTTTCTTTCTGTGATTAAAACCCATTTGTGTGTTCAAAGGGTACACTACAATAACTTAAACCCATTTTCTGATTTTGAAGAGAACATCACCAGCTTACTGTGCTTCCACCTGCTTTTTTGAAGTTAGATTGCCCAGAAAATAAAAAAACTTGATTCGCCCTACTTTTTATAAATGGAATGGCCAAAAGTATGGTAGAACCAATGTTTTAAAAAGCGTTTATTAATGCCTCTAGGAAACAAACATTGGTAGAATGCTGTATAAAATTTTGTGGATGTTCAATAGAATTATCATTGCAATAGGGGTTATCAAATTTGTCTGTTTGACGATCAATTCCTAAAAAGGCATGACTTAACCCGATTTTGATTACAGGCATCTTTTTACTTTTCGACTTTCTGATTAATGACGTTTACAGCTTTGGTCGTTTCAAAAGGTTCCGCGAGCTTTTCTTGAAAAAAAAGGCAACTAGCAAAATTGCTCTTGGTCCGTGTAGTAGTTGTTAACCATTGTGTGTGTTTTTTTCCCTAGAGTCTGTCTGTCAAATGCCTTGGGTTCATCTTTTATAGATAACGTTTATATTTTTTATCTAATTCTACATTGTCATACGAAATGAAGGTTCTACCATAACAATAGATGTTTTTTCTTTAGATGAATCTATGCTCTACCTCTACCACCTTCTTAAAACTATCCTCGTCAAATAAATAGATTTTACAAAAATTTTTGGAAAAGCTGGTTGTACTATTTGTAAAAAGCAGGTGACGTTTTTCAAAAATTGGGGAAAAATATTTGTTTCCGATAACAATGCAATTTTCTTAATGAAGTGTGCGGAGGTGCTCCCTTAGAATCTAAAAGCCAACGTGGGTTTTGATTATGTCAAAACCCTTGGGGATTGAGTTTTAATTAAAAGAAGGTAACAAAAGATTGTAAGCCCAACCAGTTTCACGTAAGTTAGAAGGAGCTTTACTTGAGCTTGTTACCAATTTTATACTCCTCCACTTTTTTTATGTGTGTACGCAAAAGCGTTATGGGTATATAACGTTTACAATTAGGATCCGCTTAGTGCGTTTTCAGCACATGCACTTTTTTCATGTATCTGTATGAAGTTAAAGTCCTCATTTCTTTCTTTAAAATGAATTCATTATTGATGTGAAACCGTACATCGCACACCTGAAAAACTAAATATAACCAAGAAAAAAAAAAGACACAAAAACTGACGCAGGTACAGCCATTTTTAAATTTCTCAAAATACAACTGCGATAGAACGTTCGAACAGAAAATCCGCCAAGACTTTCGTTCAGGAACAGCCAAAGTACGCTTAATCATAGCCTAAGACGTGTTTTTGTGGCTGTGTCTAAAAGCTGCATAATATTCAAACATTTTTGAGCGGCTCCGTATACACCATTTGAGGTATACCATATACAACGATTTCTCTTATATACTACCTGCCGGAACGTGTAGGACATTCACTGTTGAGATAAGTCATTTAAAAGTATTTTTCATCCCCTTAAACCTCGTCGCCAAACGTTTCACCTTTGGGTTTGTGATCCTTTTTATATTCTGCTCAGTACGCTACTAACAAGTCAGACGCAAGTTTTTTATTTGTTGCCATTACTACCCTAAAGATAATTTTTTTATAGCCTTTTTAAGCGTTCATTCTAAGCTGTGACCTTAAAATAGGCCCACTGTCTACTTTGAAAAAGATCCCTTTTTTTTTTTTTTTTTTTAGTAAAATAACGATAAGGACATCAATCAAAATGGCCTTAAAGGCAATTTTTGTTGGCTGGAGTTTTTAAAAGAGACTTGGTGTGCTCATTATAAAACGTGTATGGAAAGCTTCACAATGTTGACCTTATCATTATTTGGTTATTGATAATAGAGCATTGTGTAAAAGGAAATAGATCTACAAAACACAAAAATAATTACCGTATCGTAAATCCTTATGAATGTGATTTTACATGCCCTGTTCTTTTTACCAAAGGGCTAACTGACCTCCTGTCACAATAACTTGTATAAATAACAGCAACTGCCATTACCTGGATTCAATTATTAAATCTTTTAAGGTTACAGTTGAAAGTTCCTCTCGTGTCCAATTCAGATTCAGTTAATCAAACAAACAAGAAAAAACACATTCTTTGTTTTTTATATACTAATTTATTGCTGTTGTCATTTTTCTATGTTACACCCTCCAACGCAATCTACACTCACGAAAATCACACGCTTTTATCCAACACTACTTTTGCATCCTCTCCTGCCATTATGAAAATATTCGCCGTGGACGTACATTTTTTGTTTTTCATTCGTACCCCCCATTACCTTTTCAACACGTCGTTTTCCTATTTCGTATCATCCTCGTATCATCAAGTCGAAATATACCTCTATTTAGTGGATATCACACTGATATCCACTAAATATTATTTTGTATGCAATGTAATCTTTTGTCCTCTCGTGTTCTACATCCCCCTCTTGTATTAACCCACAACACAACCAGCTACATGTAGTACAATTCCTTCAGCCAACCTACGGGATACAATAGATGCATTTTTTTTTAACGAGGGGGAACTCACTTTCAACATAGGGTCGACGTACTTTCTCTGCAGGGGAAGGAAATTGAGGAAGAATAATGCATACAATGGCTTGTTCAAAAAAAAAAAAAAAAAAAAATAGGCACCACACCACTTTGTTTTTTTTAATATCACTACAAGACCATGTGGATGCTTCAACCAGCACTATGATCCAATGTATGGCAGTTATTACCAAAATCTGCATAAATTCACCAATTTGTTTTTGCGAACCAATGATATCTCGTATCAGATCTCTATTCACTTTTATATTCTTGGTGCGAAAAAAAAAGTGGCAAAAAAGACATAGTTTTATTTACAAACTATTACGGAATAGTTTCCTTAATGCACACGAACTTTTAAAACGAAAGTTTTTTGGATTTTGGAAGAGTTACAGCCGTTTGAATTTTTTTGTTTTTTTTACAGCTTCAGGAATTGGTGATTGATATGCATACAAGCGTTTTTTCACTAATTTTTAGGTAAGGGGTATATATAACCCGACCGATTTTAGGGAGGTAGGACTTGTCGTATTTGACGCCTAATTCCACGAATATAATTACTCTTACCTTGTCACTCAATTATAATACATATAACCTATGTATTATAAGTACCATATTGCGAATACATTCCTATTGGTACGACACAGTACCAGCTACCTCATATGTCAAACTGAGATCAGATTTCATAATCGTTCCTGGATTGGTCGAGTAGCTGCCGAATCTTCTAGTTTCTCATAAATTTATTTTAGTAATCCAATCAAGGACCCTGTCATTGAATGGATAAACTATAATGCTCTAGAAGTGCCGGATATGGGTCAACTAGCTCCTTGTATATAACAATAAGCTATGTTTCATATGTATCTGATTTCTAAATCTAATTCTACCATTTCCCAGTTTGCGGGTAAATAGTCAATTCGATCTGCGCAGGAAAAATCTTGAAGTAATAATTGAATATAAAAAGGACCTCTATTTTTATCATGACAAACTCTCCAACTTATAATAAAGGATTAAAGAGTCTCATTTCTTTACTTGTTTATTTTTATCTTTTATTTTCTACCTTTTTATTTCCCAATTATCACAGGACTGAAGTTCTTTTTTTTTTTTTTCTTTTTTTTTTTTTTTTTTATTTTCTATTTTTTTTATTTTTTATTTTTTATTTTCTATTTTTTTTTTTTGGACCCTCTTCATCAATGTAATGTTGTTGACATCTGAACAATCATTGTGTGATCCCGAACTAGGTTTCAATTTGAAAGTTAAAGATTTATTTTAAAAATATGTGGATATGGATAAGAATATATGTAAAAAAAAAAAAGTTTGTGTGGATAAGAGATAAAAAAAAGCATGCGTTGGTGTAGAAGAATAATTAAATGTGTTTTAGTTGTCCAGCACTTTGTTTTACGTTTTCGTTGAAGATCTTGTATAGTGCAACAACTTTATATTCAAGTGAATTGGGTGATGACTGGACCAAACCTACTTGATGTTGGACGTCGTTGAGGCTGATCACAGCATGTCTTGTTGTTGCACTATCGCTGTTCATTTTTATCATCGGTATAGTATTGTCATAGTCGGTAGCGTAATGTTCTTTCATTACTTCAACAAAAACCGAGAATTGGGCATTTTGAGGATCGGAGGTGTTGTTGTGCTCGAAGTAAAAAAGCACCGCCCCAATGTACCAACAAGTTTTGCTACATATAATTGGTAAGTAACCTACACGTATTTAAAAAAAAATTGACGCTTACGATTTATAACTAGCATTGAATAAAACGAAGTGATTTCCACGGCGATGTTCAGATCGGATTCTACGGTACATTTTTGAACTTATCACAAGGCTGTACAAAAGTGCGCGGGCAGCAATTTTGAAGTTCATATTGTTAATGGTGATATAAGAGAGAGGCAATGTTGTTGAACGGCTGTAATAAATTTTTAGCTCTCGAAGAAACGTATCAATGGGGACCGATTCGACCATGTCTAGAGAAAATAAGGTGAACGGGCTCCATAGCTGATGATTTTGGTTGTGGATTGCTGTAAGCGGCAGCTCTATAAAATCATCCAGTGATGTTTTTGTTGCCGTGATTGTATCCAACAAACTGACTGTGTCTAAAGCCAAATTTATATATCCACAAATCGAGAGTGTTTCCACATATTCCCAGCGTGTACTTTGCTTTGATTAATTTGGAATATTTGCTTATTGTTCTTTCCATTGATCGTGCACTATAAGATCTCATGCATCCCGCTTTTCGCACAATGTAGCCGATATGAGAAAGATAGTGATTGTTCGGTTTGTAAATGCTGTTGGATATATTCTTTTTAGTAATTTCCTGATCTAAAAATACATGCCAACTCTCGAAACAACTAGGGAAAGCGTTAATTTAATAGGTTCATGAATATATCTAATAAATGTAATTCTACCTTTCCATCTCCTGGATCAAAGGACCCGTAAGCTCCCACTGTAGTGCAATTGAACAACCTCTAGAAAGCATAATTAGTGCTTTTCTTACCGCAGTTCTGGCAAACAAAGGTACCAACAGAGTTGGAACCACGTACAACAGAAAATCTAAAAAGTCTATTGCCCGGGCTCCGTCAGTTTTCTCGATCAAGTTGTCCCAACTTCCCTGAAAAGACACAGGAATACTTGCCCTGGAACTGGTAATACAAGCTCCAACCAGATCAAGTTGTGCTTTTGGAACCTTAAAAGTGTAGCCATCCTTGTTAAAAATATTTTGTTTCTTGGCGTAATAACTTGTGTCATTTGTTTTGTTGACCTTGACATTAATGTCATAAATAAATCGTCCAATGCCTTGCCCAAGCAAGTGCATTTCATCCAAGCCGTAGAATGAGGAGCCAGAGAAGGAAGGTAACACGGAGAAAAGGTTGGCCTTTTTTAATTGGTGTGCCTATTACATGATTTTTAAATTATAGGCTCATTATCATAGATTGAATAACTTACTTGATCTCCGTGCACAAACTGGGAAATTGTTCTTAACGACGCAGCTCTGTCTTGAAAGTACATGCCAAAATCGGTGCATTCGCGTTTTTCTCCTTTCGACAGGCAAATTCTGCAGCCGAAGGTAGCCATATGCCCGGCATGGTGCATTTATTTTGTGACCTGCAGAGATAGCTGAGTATGATTATGACTTTTTTTTTTTTTTTTTTTCTTACCTGAGGGATGTCCCCAGTGGCCATGACCAAATGCACTTTAGCTTTGACTCTCTCACCATTCCATCTTTCGACAATCAACCCATGTTCACCCAGGCTTTTTATCTCATCAACAATCGGTAAGAGGAAGGAATCTAAGTCCTTAGGCTTACCAGGAATAATGGCAAGTTGAAACATGTACTGATCTGTATATCTAATATTTATGTCAATAATAGCTTCTGAAAACGTAGAGCTAACCTTACCTTATAGATGGGTCAAAATTAAGTACCAGTACATGCACAATTGTCATTTCTTGCTTTGATTTTTTCTGATTGACAAATCCATCGACAAAGATTACCAGAGCAATATCTTCGGGAGACCGAAAAAAGTTGGCAGCCTTTAAAGCCTTGTAGTCCTCACCATGAAAGTAATCAGAAATGATTCCTGGATTTTCCTTGCGATCATGACGGTAGCGTAACTTTTGTCGTGTTTCCTCATGGCTTAAAAGCTTAGACAGCTGATCACCAACGGACATCATCTTCATTGTTTGGACTGGAATTAAGGCGGAACCAGGAACCTCGCTTTCGTATCTATTTTCTTGACATACAGAGCAAACGTTTTCATCTTTGGTAATATCAAAGAGCTGACAAACAATTTTGCAAATATCATACTCATGAGCTTTGATTGTTGTTTTTTCCTTTAGAAGAGTAGACACAGGACCGGCATGGAGAATATGGGGGTTATATTCTGTGATTAATAGAATATTCAGTACTGTTTGTATGTATGTATATGGATGTATAAGAAACACTGTACCTTCGGCTAATTTTTCATGATCTCTGATAACAGTATTCATAAGGCGCACAATCTGCCGATGGCATTCAGAAGAGAGTTGGAAGGATGTGACGATATCATACAACTCGATACTCATTAGCTGTGATGTAGTAAACGCGTGCTCGTGGATAGAAGCTTCATCATAAACGTGTCTTTCATCACCAGGGCTAAAATTGCAAGAGGCTTTGAATGTTCTCTGATCGTTAGGATCAAAAAAATCTGGAAATAAAGTTTAAAATTAGTATTTTGATTTTGTGTATGCCCATTGTATCACAACTGTCATACTAGATTGGGAGGTATTGGCCGAGGGTGAAGCTCTGGCTGTTTCCACATTATCGACCATAATGATTTCGTCATTCTGAACAGCAACACTGGGTTCGATATGAACAGCATGAATACGCTTCTGGTTACGAAGATTTACACAGGTGTCGAACTTTCGGTTGCATTGGTCGCACGTAATAGGAATAGAAAGCTTCATACGTTTGAATTGGTTTTGCATGGTAGACGAGAAATGTATATTGGTTGTTATTAAAGAGTAAAAGTTAGCGGTTTTTTTTTTAAAAATATTTATATAAACAATTGCTGGCTTGTACACGACAATTTATGAAATTAATATATTAAAGAATGTGCATAAACTTATATGGCCAATTTTTTTCGTTTTTTCTTTTTCTTTTTTTTTTTTTTGCTGATTTATCCTTAATTTATCACAGTATTCTGTTTGTCCCTTTAATTTGAACGTTTAGCTTATTAAGATGAATAACAATTCTAGCAGAAGCATCATGTCAACATCCACAAGCGATGATATGGTTAGGGCTGTCTTTAATGAGGTAATTGAACTCAAATCATCGGTTTTGAGATTGGATGAACGGTTTGCTATTCAGTTTTCACCTGCTCCAAATAACGAAAATGTAAGCAATTTTTTCGCTTTCGCAACTGCAGGTACTATATTTTTTTCAAATTAAGTGATAATTATGTGTAACAAGTTGTCTCTCAAGGTATTGATTTGGTAGCCAAGGAAAGAGAGATGGCCAGAGTTAATGCCCATCCGGATTGTCTTGGTGCCCGAAGTATCGTAGCTACCTTGCCAGGGGCTAGGATAGGGTTCCAGCCAACGCGCACCAACAAAACACCTTGCGCTAACGCACGTATTGATGCATTGATTGTCTATCTGTGGAGAAAAAATCACAGTAACTCTTCCGCAGAGATTGGCCATGCAAAATGTAAGGAAATCAGACTGCAGTTTCGGAGCATCACTCGCCGCTTACGATATGCAATGATTCAGGAGGGTACAGTTGCCACCAGTTGGGGAAGTCTCTCACCTCAAGAGAGAACATACTATGCCTTGAGACTTGAAAGCGATATCTCGATTACGGTTATCAGATCTACAAGTTCAACAAGAAATGGGCAGCTAATCTACTCATTCAAGACACAATGAAGGGGCAACGTCAAAGTGAAAGACGAAGGTTAAGGTTACTTTCAATAGTTAAGTGAAACCTTATAAATCTCACAAATTGACATAAAATTAGGTTGGGGTTTCCCCCGTCTAGAGGGCTCCAGTAGAAGAACTTGAAGCACCAACTGAAGTTAGAAATACCAGACGTAGATAACATTCCTCTAATTTTTTATATAAATTTAAAAACTCTTTAGCTTTGAATTCTCTTTTCTTTTCTTCCTATTTTATTTTATTTTGTCTTTTATAAGGTATGCAATGCTATTGATTTATGGCATGTTCTGCTAAATGGTAAGAAATTTTATTTTACATTTCCCAAACTAATAAAAATTGTTTGTACAGTTACACCAGCATCACAAGCAGACTGAGGCACAATTGCGTAACACTTGCTATAACTGAGTCTGCAGACTAGACTTTTGTCAGAATAGATGTGATTATGAGTACTCTTGATTTTTTTTTTCTTTTTTTTTTTTTTTTTTTTTTTGGGATATTAATGTTATTATGTGTTTTAGACCTCACCCCAAGTATTGGCATTACGCTTTGACTATTAAATCTGCAGGATCTCATTTTCTGTTTAAATATTTACAGGGGTGCATATTTAATTTTGCACATTTCCTAAATTCCATTCCAGGTTGTTAATTATAGAGATGCATTCCAATTCCCAATTTCCGAGGGGCCTTATATTATGGACGAGCATTCCAATCAATACATTCTTTCATTTTCAAATTTTAATTAAATAAAATACGTTGCAGACCTATAATGTGCATCTGATATAATAATTTTTAAAAAAAAAATTGGTAGTTTTATCCACCAATTTCTTTAAAATTAGTAGTTTTTTTCACCAATTTAAGCATCCATGCATCTAGACACCCCTATTTTGTTTTTTTTTCAAATAAAGAATGTCCAATCGTTGGTCCTCTATTCCTGTTATGTTTGCGCACGTCATATATTATATCCAATTGGGACATGGGAATATCAGTTTTTATTAGCGGAAAATTTACCCTGAGGATAATAGTGCCCATTATATTAATATGTATTTGACAAATAATGTGAAATAAACACCAACAAAATTGGGGGGAATTTGCTCAAAAGGCAGAAAAACTACCAACAATAATAGTGTATTTTTTACTGGTATGATGGAAAAAATTACCAAAAAAATTGGTATCAAAACCCCCATTTGGTAGTTTCACAAGCTCACATCCACCAATATATTTGGTTATGCGTAGGGTGGAAAAAGCAACAATAAACAGTAAATTGGTGATAAAACTACTATGCTTCCAATTATAGTGATATTACTATGTGTACATTGATAGAGTTTCGATTCCAATTTTTTAAGAGCCAATGTTTAATTGAAGTGTCAGAAGTACAAGTATCTATATTGAAACATTCACACGGTATGCTATCTCTTAAAATGATAAATTCTGATTAGTTTGTAATACTTCATACAAAAGATCATATGACGGATGAATCGTATGATAGAGTTTTTAATTAAGGTAATGTCACTACTGTACTGAAGTTTCAAGATAGGATATTTATCGTAAGAGTGGCTTGTGATTATGCGATTCTCGTGGATATCTCCGATTCTTAATTATTCATGCTTAATTTTCGACAACATTTGCGATTCGCGTGTAACAGAAAGAGCTATAAAACCTTTTGCATTCTACAAAATTATCATGCACAATTAATTTATTATTAACAAAATGCTTTTGGGAGAACTCAGCGATTCAAGTGTTACCATGGCCCCCATGTTCCGCATCACGTCTAGACATGTGTCTATGGAAGCCAAGGCTGTCGACTCGGGTGTCAATGTCAAGTTGTTCACCTCAAACCCAGTTTTTCAGTATTACTTTTTGAGATTTTGTTCTGTTGGGGCAAAGCAGTATATCACTGGTAATTTTCAGTCATATCAATTCCAAAAATTTGAAGTAACATTTTTTTTATTTAAAGGACCTTTGAATATCACTGCTTTCACTTTTGATGACTCTAACAGAGCATTTTGTAGTGTCAAATTGAATGTCCATAACATCAGACCTTTGGCCATTACCGACGAAGAGGGAAACGTCATTCCCACAGACGCAAAAAGAATCAGACTTCGTGATATTGAGTCGTTACCTTTGACG